AACAAGGAGAGCAACAGAGTGCGACAAGGACAGACATATTCACGTGGTAGACAAGGAAGCTAGTAGCGTGTGACAAGGACAACAATATAAATTAGTTCCGGCACCTATCCTTGGGGTGATACCCTATTTATCGAAAAATTGGGTCATTTACATTAGAAAGAAGCTTCTTCATATCGAATTGTGGGCAAACGTTCATAGATATTACTTGGAACGTTCGAAAAACGCTCGTTCGTATCTAAGTTATACAAAGAAAAAGACTTGGGCATTAGTATGTTTGATCTAAGTCTGAATGTTATCCTAATTTTAAGATAATCATTAATTATATTTGAAGACCTCGAATCTTTTCAGGTTCCTTTTCTCATGTAACATTGGCATTTTCTAAAATAACGAAGTGACGATATTAAATATTCCTGCTATATGCTGATAACAGTTATCAATAGTGATTCTATAAACATGGCGCTTTTCATGACACTTAAAATATCAAGCTGTTCATCAGAATTTTTCGAATAAATACAATTCATTAACATTATCGAGGATTGTCGATCGAAAGAGAATACTATTCCAAGCGAATTTGGAGGATCCTTTGAACTTGATACGGTAAACAACGAAAAAACAGCGGAACTTTATCTGATAGGAGAGACATAACCCATAAACAATGGACGAAACATACTTCGACGAAGGACCGGCGGGAAATTTCGAAACAGCTACCTTAGAAATTACCAAAGAACTCGATACCAACGAGTTGAACAGTCAAAACGCTGCTTCTACTGGTTCGTATTTTTACATACTACTGTAAATGTGTTATCTTAGCGAGATATTATAGTATTAAAAACATTTTACATAATTGTTATTGAAAAGGAATTGACACTGCAAAGAGAAACAGGGAGAATGAGATGTACAATCCAAATCAAATTCCATCATCCAGAGACGTGTCTAACATACCCTTCAAGCACATTGACATTCATTCCTTTTTCTCGGACAGAAATGAAGTTGTTGACAGAGCGCTAAAGGATTGCCAGGAAAGTTTAATAAATGAAGAGGAGAGGGACATTATTGGAAGCTGGCTGTTGACAGAGTAAGAGGCCTGGATATACGTACAAATTTTTAGTGAATTATTATGTAGTGTGAGAATTAACGTTTGTACATGTTTGTAGAATAAGTCTATGGGATATAGAAAAGGAGAGATTAATAATACTTACAAGAAGAGCCATTTATTCGATAAAGTATGATTTCATCTCTTTAAAAATACTAGAATACAACCGGATACCTTTGATGCAGATTGATACGCTCGTTTGTGGTGAATTAGTTTATCCTTCTTCATCTTTGGCGCCGTAAGTATTATTATCAATTTACAAAAATAGAAGATTATCATTATATTATAGGTGAAAAAGTTGATCATAGTTATCATCATATCATAGGATGTACTTTCAAATTTATGAATGATTTTTAGACGATTAAGTGGATTGGCCGAGGGTGTATCGTCAATAATTCATTGCGCAGGCCGTCAAGAGTGGTCTTCTCTTGTCTCTTGTACAGGTCTTGCACAATTTGAACCTAGGTACACTGAATTGCTACATAGAAAAGAGATTTTTTTTATTTTAAAAAGAACTCCGCACTCTCTTTATTGCTTTATGTTAATAATATTATAGTTTTTGTACATATGTGTGAAATACAAACAGTCGTAATTTCTCTGCAGTTGTATAATAGAACTGTTCATTTAGTTTAGTTAATATTTACATTTATGCTTGCAGGTTGTTGCTTTAGTAACATTGTAATGTAATACTTATGTTCTGTTGCTTAGTTTCAAGTTTATTTATTTAAATTATCGGTGTATAATAGTAAAGATAGTTAATTTATTATTAAGTCAACTAAAATTGATTTTTCAGGAAAAAGCATATGTCTGGAATAAGAATAATGTGGAACAAGGGCACCCCGTTATCATTAATTAAGAAATGGAATCCATTTGCGAAGGATATACCGTGGCTTACTTATGCTAGTCATCCATTATTTTGGTACAAAGGTAAGTCTATTTTAATTGTACAAATACATCACTCTCTTGCAAAATTTTGATGTCATTTATAGGTTCAGAAGGAGATAAAGCAAAGTTTAGTGTTGAAGGTTTACAATCGTCGATTAAAGACCTCTTGTCATCAGACTGCATTGTAAGAAATGGACTTATTGTTATAGAAAATTACTTTGGTATAGGTGCCTTAGTACATAATAGAAATGGATTAGGTTTCTTTAAAATTCGCGGCAAAGTTAGTTTTTAATTTGGTTCACGAAACAACTGAAATTTTTACTTCATTTCTCTAAAATTCACATTCCAATTTCCAAAGCTCCAAACTCCTATTTATAAATCTGATGGTATTTACAATGAAATATTAAAATTAGAGATACAAATTCATTTTATCTACATAGGGAAATTCTCAAATAGATCTCGATTTACTTTCCAAAGATTCTAATATGCAATATTATTAAGCATATCGTATAAATTCTATCATGTATGATACAAATATTTTCACTCAGTACCTGGCTAACAAAAAGCTAAAACTAGATATTAAATATGTACGTCATACTAAGATAATTCGTTTACATTTTCTAGATGTGATACTATGTTTTATAATTCAGTATAAAAATAAATGGCAAACATAAGCCATTTGACCTTTCTTTATAATAATAAATAAAGACAATTCTTCTCAAATACTTAAAAGAAAAGTTTCTTTTATTATCCTTTAGCATTTAACAATCTTTTCAATTGTTTCGAAAGAATCAATGCAAAATTAATTAAACATTAAATTACAAATGAAAAAATTTGTATATAAAAAATAATTTTTAAAAAATGGTAGTAATTTTACATGAAATATACATAAAATTTATATTTTTAAACATGAATTTATTTAATATTAAATAAGAAACTTTTGATATAGCAAAACATAATGGTTATGTTCAAATGTAGTAGGTGCATATCACCTGTTGACCTAGTTTATGATATCGTTTTAATTTTAATTTAATTTTAATAGAATCACAAATAAAAATTTATTAAAAATTAATAAAATTGAAAGATTGCAAGAAAATATCAACATTCAGTGAAACAAAATCTGTATACGCGTTGTCAGGTCATTTAGTTAATACACGATCGTATTCTTAGTAGATAATACAAACAAATGTAAGTACATTCTGTACATGTAAGTAAAATTATTTCTATAATTTTTACAATAATATATACGTTGTCATTCTTATTCGCAGATTTTTTTTACATACAAGATGCGAAGTTTATGATTTGAATGATTCAATGTAATCAAGCATTTACGAGTTCAACAAGAGTCAATTAATGTTATTAGATCATAAGCCAATTTATTTCCGAGAAAAAAGCTTGATAAAGATGCACTATTACAGATCAATGTCAAAGCTGTAAAATGCATCTTTACCGTTTTAAGTTGTGGCCTGTGTTTTTAGCTGGATATGGAATTGGTTTCCTTCTTGCATTCATCTTCTTTGCTGCTCAAGATTTCTTTAATGGCGTTTCCACTTGTCAGAAATCAAAATTAAATCTATACTCTGCAAGCAGAAGTGATCTTTTTAAATGGTTTATATCTGATGTATGGATTACGGAAGAGACTGTCTTTCAAAGTTGGAAAGAATCAGCAAACACGACATATAGTGAATGGTTGACTAATAGAAAACTGAAGATAAGAGACATTGACGTGGACAAGTATCTTTATGGACCTAAAATTAAGGAAGAATTGGAATCTACCTGGTTGAAGTTGCATATTCATGTCACTTGCGTTGTGTTTGTAAAAAATATTAAATTGGCTAGATCCATTCAGGATACCTGGGGAAAGCATTGTAACAAGATATACTTCTTTGGCCAAGTGAAAGATTCCAAAGTACCTATTATAAATTTCGATATTAAATTAGTATCATCGTGGCAAATGTTATGCGAAGTATTTAATTATATTTGGAGGAGCAATGAAGTTTTAGAATGGCTTATCTTTGTAAAAGATGACACATTAGTGATCCTTGAGAATTTGCGGTATATGCTTGGTCCGTTGAATTATACTCAGGATCACTATCTGGGTCATGCAGTTATTCTCTGGGGCCAACCTTATAACATAGCTGATGCAGGATACGTTATTAGCGTGGGAGTTCTTAGGAAGCTAATTAAAATGTTTGATAACTCAGAGAAATGCATGACCAGCGGCAAGTATTGGAAACAGGAAGATTATTATCTTGGTAGGTCTTTCATTATTTTTGATATCTTTTATCTACAATTTGATTGTGAGGTTTAATTATTTTTAGCCAAGCATCTGGCCTCAATAGGAATTTATCCTTCTGATACAAGGGACCAGTACTTACGGGGCACTTTCCATGGGTACCCCTTGCAATCTTTATTGTGGGGTGTTGTTAAAACTGGTGTTTATTGGACTCGTGCATTGTACCCCATAAAAAACGAGTGTTGCTCGTTTATGTCTGTTACTTTTAATGTAGGGGAATCAGAAAAAATGTACACCTTGAATTATTTATTATATCATTTCCATGTCTTAAACAAAAAAGCTATTTTTGGAAGTAAGAATGCAGTAACTTCCATATCTGACGAAGATGTAAGATTATTATTTTACTACGAATGTATTATAATAAGTAAAAACTTAAAATTAACTGAGTATTTCCGTTCGCAGGTCTGGAAAGTCGCTTTGAAAGAAGAGTTTAACATTACAAATTTAAATACGATTTCTAGCGAAATGTACTATGAAATATGGCACTCGAAATATTCTGAACCGGGACAATTAATTGGCAAGAATTATCGGATTAATGATTAAGATGAATCCAAATAAATCTACCGTATTTTTATACGTCTTATACTTAAAAGATTTTATTAATCAAGTTTTATAACGTTGTTTGATATTGTACTTTAATAATTTTGAAGTACAACAATGTTTGTATTAAATAGTTTAATAATTGTTGAAATTGTAAATCTGGTTGTGAACGGACATAGAATATTTATAGAACGACATTGTTAAAAATTTGAAATGTTTATCAGCTTTTACAGTTTATTAATTAGCTCTAGTGATACGACAAATGTGGGAACAGCAGAGTGGTGTTGTTTGATAACTGTTTTCCTTGTTACGCCATCATTGCTTTATCTGACTAATTAAGAGCTCATTAACGCTTACAATGGCACTGATAATCAAACCACAACTCCAATTTTATATATGTCAAGAATACTGGAACAATGTTTTACCTTATGTTTCTCTATGTAAATTATTTATCTTTGGATAGTGAAGATGGCTATACAAAGGTATTACAGAGAATTATTTTTAGCTGTAAGTATACTAATACAGTACCTGATAATATACAGATAATATACAGGATATGCATAAAGTGTTACAAGCTGTTACAAACCGTTATAGATATCGAATTGAAATTTTGAAAAATAGATGAGCTTCTTATGAATGGAAAGGGTACAACCCCTAATTTTTTAAAACGGAACGTAATGTTAATCTTCTGTTATTCCAAAAGATATTTTTCATTCATATTTATTTATTTATTTACCATTCTTGGAACTATTGATGCATAAATGTTTTTTTAGTCTTCTCATCGTATCATCTTTCGATGTGGGCGGCGTGATTATTCCATGACAATAAATGTATGATTTTTTTAGAGAAAAAGTTTTGTCAATTCGCAAATCCCAGACACGGCTTACATTCCACTAATGACCTATATTATTTCGTTGAATTCATTTTATCAAGTAAGATTTCAGTTATCGGTTATCCGTTTCCTTTTGGAGGTAGCTATATAAAAGAAGAATTGTTTTAATTTGTATATTTTGCGAGGCGAGAGTACTCAATAACGTTTCATGTTAGCGTTTCTTTTTAATGGATACATTATAAAACATATACTTCAGCATGGTGCTGTGGATAGTGTTTTTTAACGTTGCTGTAATTACTACCATCTGTAATCAACTAATAGCTGGTGATGATCTGTTGAGTTCTTCTGAAATAGCAGAGTGAGTAAATCTCTACTTTCCCTTGAATTTTTTAAAATACTTAAATTTAATTAATATTTTAATTCCCCAGTACTGCTATTCCATTGAATGACTATCCAAAACAAGTTTATGAGGGTGTGAAGAGCACAAAGGGCAGAAAGAAATCATCTTTATTTCCTGGAGGTTGCAGCAAACAACCGAATACACCTTTAAATGGGGAAATAAGATGTTCCATGAACAGGTGATTTTTTCTTTCATTGAAGGTGAATATTTTCAATTGCTGAATATTTACAAATTTTTACTTGCAGCGGATGTATTGCAACTTGTAAACACGATTACGAATTTCCCAATGGAAAGACAAAGTTAGCTGTAACGTGTACAAATAAGGAATGGCATATTTACGGTACAGATTGGAATTCTGTACCTCACTGTGAACGTGAGTTTTGCACAAAAATGATCAATTATTTTATTACAAGAAACGTAATACGCCCCAGATAAACGTATTTCTATATTTTCAGCAATTTGTATGCCAGAATGCTTGAACAACGGAATTTGTGTTGCACCCCATCAATGCGATTGTCCTGGAGACTTCACTGGGCCACAATGTCAATTTGAGAAGAAACCATGCTTAAATTTTCCTGCTCCGGTGCTTAATGCACATAAAAAGTGCAACTCACAGTACGAGATCTTAAATTACACTTTACTCAAAGTATTAAATCCATATTAAACGTTTATTTGTGACAATATTCTTTTTCGTTAGATCGTGTACCGTATCCTGCATGAAGAATTTCACGTTTCCGGATGGCACTTCCGTCACTAATCTCATATGCAAGAACGGAAATTGGGAGCCCACCAAAAAAGACTGGGTTTCCATACCTAATTGTGAACGTACGTTTTAAAGCTTCAATTTGTAATTTAAAAATTATTAAATCGCATAGATTCTCTGTATTTCTTTGTTTATTGTAGCTGTGTGTGATCCTCCTTGTCAGAATGGTGGTAACTGTCTTCCATCCAATTTTTGTCAGTGTCCTCAGGCATACAAAGGATCCCAGTGTCAATATTGTAAGCATAATAATTCATTCGTTTTAATAAAGTAATTTGAGTAATTGAATAATTAATCCTAATATAGCTACTGATACTTGCACTGGAGAGAAAATGGGTTTCAACGGAGGCTTCTTTTGTTCAAGCGTTGATGATACTTATTCCTGTACTATAAACTGTCCCGTTGGAGTAGAATTCGAGTTTCCCCCAGCCTCCGCGTACATTTGCAACTATGAAACTGGCGTGTTTGCGCCTCAGCCAATTCCTCAATGTAAATACTCCAACAATGTAATTTCCTTGGGAACTATGTACAACTCCTATGTTAAGGAGACTAATCATACTTGGACCTACCAGGACATCTTCAAATCTCATACGAACCAATTATCACTTCAAGGCAATTATGGAATCACGCAACATTATAGTAATCATGAATCTAACATGGTGACGAATACGGTAATAATTTAAGACAAACATCTTAAAATTGAACACTTGCATTACTAAAATTCTATTTCGATTAATGTTAGATGCTCAATCCATTGGAGAATAACATACTGTTTATTGAGGAGAAGAGACCAGTTCCGGAAACATGTTTCACATGGAGCGGAGTACATTACAAGACTTTTGACGACAGTGTTTTCAGCTTCGACAGTGAATGTTCTCACATCTTGGTGCAAGAGGCGCAGAACAGACTGTTCACTATAACTGTGGAGAACAGCCCAACTTGCAAAGATCAGAACTGTTTTAGAATCGTCAAAATTTACATTCAGGACAAGGAATACATTTTACTGCGAAACGAAGACGGTATACCAGAGTTTAGAACCACAAAGCACCGGCTTCCAATTCCAGCGCAGCTGTCTGTATTGAGAGCTGAAACGTCTGCACACTTCATCGTGGTAACTATGGATTCTTTGGGGGTTCGGTTGAAATGGGATGGAGCTCTCCTGTTGCAAATCGAAACTGCAGAAAATCTGTGGAACAAGACGATCGGTTTATGCGGTAACATGAACGGCGATAAACGCGACGATTTAATGAGCAAGAACGGAGAGCACACTAAAAGTGTTGCGTCGTTTGCTACTTCTTGGCGAACGGAAGATATCGGAGGTATTACTTCCTTACTTTCTCTTGCTTTGCTGGTTGACAGCATTTAAATTTCATTTCGTTCTTTTAGAAACGTGCGACGAATATCCAGACACTAAGCATTCCTGTGAATCCGACTCATTGATTACCAAAGATGCCATTGAATTTTGTGCAAAATTATTTTCTGACCGCCGGTTCAAAGCTTGCGCCAATACAATTAACGTTGCTGAGCTACAAACAGCTTGTCTCTCGGACTACTGCTCTTGTTCGGACATTGACAGAAAAAAATGTGCTTGCGACACTATGAATGTATACATCAGACAATGTGCTCACAAGAAAGTTGTGCCTCTGTCTGGTTGGAGGAACAATGACACCTGTCGTGAGTTGAAATTCTCTAAATTTTATGTACAAACTATTGACAAGAAAACAAAATACTCATTATTTCATGGTATTACAGCCATGACATGTAACAATGGACGAGTGTACATGCCGTGTGGTCCAAAAGTGGAATCATCCTGCTGGACAGAAGAAGAGAAGAAGCTAAATACAGAGGATTGCGAAGAAGGTTGTTTCTGTCCAGAAGGAACGGTAGCTTACGAAGGAAGGTGCGTTCAACCTCACGAGTGCCCCTGCAAGCTTCATGCAAAATTATTCCAGCCTGGGAAAAGTGTGCAAAAGGATTGCAACACCTGCACCTGCTCCTCCGGGAAATGGATATGCACCCAAGCAAAATGCAGTGCTAGATGTGCTGTCGTCGGTGATCCCCATTACGTTACTTTCGATGGGAAGCATTATGACTTTATGGGGAAATGCAAGTATTATTTGATGAAGGGGGACGATTACAGCATCGAAGGTGAAAACGTTCCCTGTTCTGGTGCAATATCGGAGGTCTGTTACCGAGACCATTCATTTCTAACGTTTGACAATCGTGATGAATGTATTTTATTCTAAAAAAAAATCGTAATTTTATTTGTAGAAAATGGGACTCGTTTCTTCCGACGCACCATCTTGTACGAAAACTATCACGGTCAATTACAAAGGCACTATCTTGAAATTGAAACAACATAGACAAGTATTGATCAATGGAGATGATCTAACAATGTTTCCTACATTTACTCATGGAATCAGGATACGTATTGCAAGCAGTATATTCATGATCGTTCAATTGCCGAATGGTCTAGAGATATGGTGGGACGGGATTTCTCGCGTTTACATCAACGCTCCTCCAGAATTTCATGGTTCAATCAACTTTCATTACTTCTGAAATTTATTCATATGAAACGTTATATCTGATCTTTCATCTTTTGTATTGATTATAAGGCAATACAAGGGGACTTTGCGGCACATTCTCTGAGAATCAGAAGGATGATTTTATTACACCAGAGGGTGATATTGAAAGCACAGCAATTGCCTTTGCTAACAAATGGAAGTGTGACGAGTTCTGTCCCGATATCCCAGATAAAGAATCAGATCATCCCTGTGATCTTGATCCACAGAAACGAGCCACGGCGAAGAAATATTGCTCATATTTATATAGCGACATCTTTGCTGGTAGAGTAACTAGATACATAGATCTTTTAGTTCAGCTGTTTATATTTAATTTAATTCCTTCTTTTAGATTGCCACTGGCACGTAGATCCAGATACATTCTACAAAGACTGTTTATACGATATGTGTTCCTGTAAAGTTGAACTTGAATCCTGTCTTTGTCCCATGTTGGCTGCATATGCCAAAGATTGTGCAATTGCCGGAATAAAGCTTTCGTGGCATCAGAATGTGGAGGAATGTAAGATTCATTGTCCAGGAAATGAAGTGTATCAAATTTGCGGAAATAGTTGTACCAGGTACATCATAATTTGAAATTAATCGAATACCGATAAGTGTGAGATACCTGTAACGATATTTTAAATATTTCCAGGTCTTGTGGAGACATATCTTCTTATCAGAATTGCAAACAAGAGTGCGTAGAAGGATGTAACTGTCCAGAAGGAGAAACGTTGGATATTCATGGGGAATGCGTTCCAATTGGACAGTGTCCATGCATTTATGGCGGAATGGAGTTTAGTCCAGGGCATAAAGAAGTCAGACCTGGAAATAAAGCTCTTGAACTTTGTACCTGTACAGGTACTAACATTAATGAAACAACCGGTTTTTCGTTTCAATGAATTGTATTTCATTCGTAAATGATCATTTTAAATAGGTGGAACTTGGAATTGTCGGGACGCAACACCGAACGAGATTAGACAGTATCCAGCAGCCAAGGACCTATTAACATCATGTGTAGCAAGCAACAATCAGGAAGTCACAGAGTGTGCACCGACAGAACCTAGAACTTGTCACAATATGCATAAACCAATCCAAAAACCACTGATCTGTAAATCTGGCTGTATTTGCAAACCTGGTTACGTTTTGAACGAACCAAATGGCAATTGTATCAAACAGGAATCTTGTCCGTGTCATCATGGAGGTCAGAGCTACGAGGAAGAGTCTGTTATACAAAACGACTGCAATACTTGTAAATGTACTAATGGAACGTGGAAATGCACTGATAGAACATGCGCAGGTAATATTATAAACGCCTATTTATTTCACGAAATACTTAATTTTACCTTTAATCGTTAATACTTCGGTTCTGTTCAGGTGTCTGTTCTGCTTGGGGAGACTCCCATTACAAGACATTTGATGGAAAACTTTACAATTTCGAAGGAATATGCGATTATGTTCTTGCGAAAGGTTCCTTGAGCCAGGATGATTGTTTCGACGTGTCTATTCAGAATGTTCCTTGTGGAACAACCGGAGTGTCGTGCTCTAAATCAATCACTCTTACCGTCGGAAATGGTCCATCTTCGGAGAGAATTGTCTTGACTAGAGGGAAGGAACTTCCAGTAGATAATTTCAAGAGAATGGCCATGAGAACAGCTGGGCTATTTGTATTTGTTGACGTGCCAGACATGGGACTGACTGTACAATGGGATAAAGGTATTATTATATGATTCCTTTTCTATTTATTTTAGAACTTTTCCTAAGATTTTAATAATATTTATAGGGACCAGAGTATATATAAGACTAGAGCCTAGCTGGAAGGGACACACGAAAGGGCTCTGTGGTGATTACAACGATAATAGCGAGGATGATTTCAAAACGCCCTCAGGCGGAATCTCAGAAGTGTCTGCTAATCTGTTTGGAGATTCCTGGAAGAAGAACGAGTTCTGTGCCGAGCCTAAAGACGTCGTAGATCCTTGTGTACAACATCCAGAGAGGAATCTATGGGCTGTGCAGGAATGTGGAATATTAAAATCACCAATTTTCCAGCCTTGCCACTCCGAGGTTGAGATAGAGAGCTATTTCCGTAACTGCATCTTCGATACTTGCAGCTGTGATACAGGTATTGCTATATTAATTGTCAATAATAATATAATTATATTTTCGTTGAATAAGAAAATTATTATCTATATTCTTTATATTCCAGGCGGAGATTGCAGTTGTCTTTGCACTGCCCTGGCAGCATACGCCCAAGAATGCAGTGCAAAAGGAGTTCCCATAAAATGGCGTAGTCAAGAACTCTGTCCCATACAATGTGACGAAAAATGTAGCTCATATTCTCCTTGCGTTACAACGTGTCCTCGCGAAACCTGCGATAACCTCATGACACTGAAGGATAAGGCTCATTTGTGTTCCCAAGATACTTGTGTTGAAGGATGCTCTGTGAAATCTTGTCCACAAAATCAAGTATACAGCAATGACAGCTACATGGAATGCGTTCCCAAAGAAACCTGCAAAACACTTTGTACCGAGATTAATGGGGTATGTCAAAGAAGGGGATAAATTATCTTTGGACACTAATGAAGAATACTCTTATTGTAGATAATTTACTACGAGGGTGACAGTGTGAAGAGCGACGACTGTCAGATGTGTTACTGCAGTCGTGGGAAAGTATTGTGCAAAGGAGAACCTTGCACAAGCGTTACTGTATCAAGTATTACCATGCCACTAGAGGAACCACAGAAATGCGTGAATGGTTGGACTGCTTGGATAAATCAGGATCCAGCAATTAAAGGGAAGAAATTTAAAGATGTCGAACCTTTACCTTCCTTAGAATTGGTAATGCTTTATTATATCATCTATTCGTTTGTTTATTTTATTCTGTTAATTTTGTATCACTTTTATACTTTTTAGATAAACGTTAAGGGGTATGCTATGTGTGACAAGAAGCAAATGGTCGATATAAAATGTAGATCGGTGAATGGTCATTTCACGCCGAAAGAAACTGGTTTAGATGTAGAATGCAGTTTGGAACGTGGTCTTTATTGTCAGTCTCAACCTGGTCTTCCTTGTATCGATTTTGAAATTAGTGTTTTGTGCCGATGTTCAGTAACTACTACAGAAGGACCAGGTCTGTATCACAGAAAATTAAGATGATTAATTATTTAATTATTAAATTAACATCGACTTGTATTACAGAAATATCAAGTACGATAAAAGCTTCGTACAAGCAATGTGATATGGAGCATCCATACAAGTCTCATCCTACAAATTGTCATTTATTTTATCAATGTGCTCCCGGGCCCAGTGGTAATGAGTTTGTAGAGAAATCCTGCGGAGAGAACATGTTTTACAATCCTCAGGCGCAGGTCTGTGACTGGCCAGCTAACGTCATGTCAATAAGACCAGAGTGTTCAGTGGAACAGAGGACAACGCCGAATAGAGTTGAATGGACGAGTGACCAGGTCAAATACAACAGCACCACATTGAGTACCTTGGCGAAGAACATTCTAACTACTAGTACAATCATTTTTTAATAGCTTCCAAATATTTGATTGATATTTGGTATGATGAAAAAAGAATTATTTTCTTGCAGAAGTATGCAAAGAGAGTGAAATGTGGAGCGACTGCGCTATCAATTGCAACAAAGCTTGTGATTACTATAAATATATCTTGGTGAAAGAAGGAAAATGCGATGGCATTTCTGATTGTGTACCAGGTATAGTATGTTTATCTGTACTCTATATAAGTAAAAGGATTTTTGACATCATGCTGAATTACTTAAAAAATTAGGGTGCGTTCCACTGAATAAACTACAATGTCCATCAAATGAATTCTGGAGGGATGCGTTAACTTGCGTGGACGAGAGGGAGTGCACCTGCAGATCTCACGATGGATATCCGGTTATTTCTGGCGCTGTCCTAAAAGAATCAGAATGTGAAATCTGCCAATGCATAAACAACTATTACACCTGTGACAGATCATTGTGTGCCACTGTAACAAGCAAAGTAACTACAGAAAAATTAGTAACACAACCACTGACAGAAGCAACTACTGAAAAATTAGTCACACGACCATTGACAAATGTAACTACTGAAAAATTAATTACACAACCATTGACAGAAGCAACTACTCTTTCGATTTCACCCTCGTGAGTAGATTTGTCAATTTAAAAAACATTATAATTTATTGATAATTAAGAATACTATTTATGTATTAAAGGACTGGCAGCCATACAATTATAATACCAAGCACTGTTAGCCCACCTGCTTATTGTGTCAGCAACAATTTCATTCCCTTGATACAGTATTTGAACGATCAAGTTTCTTTCGATGCCAGTAGTACTAAAGGTCCCGAGTTTCAACCAGAAAATGCATCATTGAATGGAAACATTGGATTTTGGGAGCCTGAATATATCACTACTGATCAATGGTAAGTGTATGTAAGTGTATGTAAAGCATATTTGATTAATCGAAACGATCGTTGCTATTTGATTTCTAGGTTGGACATAAAGTTCCAAAAGCCAGAGTCCATCTATGGAATTATCATCCAAGGAAGTGCAATGGAAAATAAATTCGTAACTAGCTACAAAGTACTATTTTCAGAAAATGGTCACACGTTTTCATACGTTACGGATGGTAAAAAGGAGCCGCAAGTATTCAGAGGACCTGTGGATCAGTTTAAACCTGTCGAACAAAAGTTTTACGAGCCTATCGAAGCCAAAGTGATTCGAGTCAATCCACTGTCCTGGCACAATGGTATAGCCATGAAAGTAGAGTTGCTTGGTTGTCAAGAAATGGTGACCACCTCTGTATCTGTGACAGAAAGTGTCCCAGCAACAACTACAATGATTACAGAGGAAATCATAATACCAGGTACATATATTCAAAGCATGAAAGCAAGCTACATAGAGTTATACAATTGTATTTTCTGCATTTATCAGTGTGTGATGAACCAATGGGGCTGGACAATGGTTTAATTTTCTCTGAGCAAGTCTCTGTATCCTCTTCTTCTACTGATTTACTACCGAACTTGAAATTGTCGTCCTCGAGTGTCTGGCATCCGAAATTGGACAATCCACATCAGTTCGTAAAAATCGACTTTCTGGAGCCTCGTAATTTAACTGGAGTCGCTACGAAGGGTGGCGAGAACACTTGGACGACGGTTTACAAAGTGTTTTACAGTAACGACAATTATCGGTGGAATCCAGTCTTGGATGAAAATGGCTCCGAAAGAGAATTTTTGGGCAACTTTGACTCTGATACGGTTAAGAAGAACTACTTCAACAAACCATTGTACGCGAGATATTTGAAGGTGCAACCGATTAAGTGGCACAGTCAGATTGGTTTGAAACTTGAAGTTCTCGGTTGTTTCTTACCTTATCGTAAGTACGATTCCCGCTCAAATCAGAACGTTGTGAATTTTTCTTACACCTTGTTACGTTTAATTTGCATAGGTCGGATCGAAGTAACTACTGAGAAATTGGAAACAACAGAACCAACAGAACCAACAACAGAACAGCCGTTCAAAAAATGCAATGTCTGCGAAGGAGTGAAAAATGAAAACCAAACTGATTGCAAATGCACTAAATCACTCTGGTGGAATGGAGATACTTGTGTTACCAAGCAGGAATGCCCTTGTGTAGTTGGACATATTCTGTAAGCAAAACACGTCTTTGTAATCTATTGTCTCTTTCCCTGCATTTTAATGTTAATATTTTTTTAGATACAATGTTGGTGTAGTTTACATTGATGAAAATTGTCAAGAATGCACATGCACCTTGGGTGGTGTCTCTTTCTGTCAGTCAATAAAGTGTAAACCTTGCGAATTACCAAACATGAGGCCAGTGGTTAACGAACTGTGCAACTGTGTGTGCAAACCTTGTCCAAATGGCACGCTTCACTGCCCAACCAGTGACATTTGCATCGATGAAGATTTATGGTGCAACGGAGTTCAAGATTGTCCAGACGACGAAAAAGATTGTTCACAGACTAAAGAGACTACTGTAATGAAAATAGAAACTACGACTCCAACTACAGGTATTCAAAAATTAACTTAAGAAACTTTTTTATTAAAACTTTGAAAAAAGCTTTCGCAAAATCTTTTTTCGAAAATTTGATCATAATGTTTTATACTGCCAATAGTTCCAATTGTGTGCGAAGATCCTATCTGTCCAGTAGGATATAAAACAGTCTTAAAAATACCTAAAGAATCACAATACTATACTAGACCTCATGCGAGAGAGGGAGTGAAATCTTTTCGCAAGAATTCATGGAGGAAAAAAGGACTAAGGTACTATTGTAGAACTCTGAATACGTTGTTTCAATTTTTAAGTGATTAAAACAAACCATTTTTCTTTCTTTTTTTATCAGGAAATCTATGCATCATCATTTGAAACACAGTGAAAAGCCTGAAATTGAAAAGGAATGTGTACAATTCATTTGCGTGCCTGTGAAACCACCAGTTTTCAATCAGACTCAACACGAGACCTGTCCAAAGGTGTCTTGTCCACCAGGTTACACAGTTGTTTACGAGAAAATGAGCATGTATAAGCTTCAGAAGTGTCCCAAATACAGTTGTAAACCTCCACCACCGATAGAAGCTATTTGTAACGTGACAGGAAGGACGTTCAACACTTTTGACAGACTAGAGTACAAATACGATATCTGCAATCATATTTTGGCAAGAGACATGTTCACCAATAAGTGGTACATTACACGTAAGTGTTTTAATATAAGTGCTAAAATTATAATGTAATAAAATAGAATATGATATAAAATTACAATGTAATAAAATAAGTATTTCACAGTAGATAAAACTAATTTTGGCAAAATGTTATACCTATAATGTTTCAATTTTATTTATATTTTACAGTGGAGAAACAATGCGACTCGCATACTGGCCAGTGTATCAAGGTCTTGGCAGTGGCTCTGGACGCAGATGTAGTCATTCTGTACCCTGATATGCACATGGACATTAACGAATACAGCTTCACACCAAAGCAGATAGCCAGAATCAGCAACAAGTTTCCTTCCTTTAAGATAGCGAACGTAGGAGATATCACGTACTTGGTATCCAACTATTACGGGTTTTGGGTGATATGGGATAGCAGTTCGAACGTGAAGATAGGAATCTCCACAAAATTGGCTCGCCAAGTAGACGGTTTGTGCGGATACTTCGACGGATACTCTATGAACGATAAACAATTGCCTAACGGGAATCAAGCTCGAAGCACTTTAGAATTTGGAGACAATTGGGCCATGGAAGGCGTTCCGGAATGTGAGCCACAGGTTCGACAATGAAAAACGGTCAGTATCCATTGGGGAATATTAAATTTACTTAATTTTCAAGGTCTGTCCGTACGACTTGCAAGCGGAGAGCTGGAACATCTGTAATCTAGTGAAGGACACCTCGTTGGTTGAATGCTCAAGCACCGTGAATTTGGAGAAATTTATATCCGGCTGTGTAGAAAACACGTGCAACTGTCTGCGCAGTAACCTCACGTACGACGATTGTCGTTGTCGATTATTAACCAGTTTTGTTAGTGAATGCCAAGCTGGCGACTTGAATGTAGATCTGTCTACTTGGAGGAGCACGCATGACTGTCCAGCATCTTGCACTCCACCTTTTGTTCACAAAGACTGCTTCAGGTATCTTGGACGAACAAATGAATCCAACATGTTTCTAATGTGAGTAATTGCAGGAACAAGTGCGAGACCAGCTGCGAGAGCCTGCGACAAATAGATCCTTGTCCAGTGATGCAAGGAGTATGTTTCTCTGGCTGCTTCTGCCCGGAGGGGACAGTACGTAACGGGGACGAGTGTGTACCCCCTACGCATTGCAAAGACTGCGTTTGCGAGTGGCTAGGAAACTCCAAGTTTATCAGCTTCGACAGGAAGAACATCAAATTCGATGGGAACTGCACATACGTTCTTTCCAGAGACGTCGTTGAAAACGTAAAGGGGAACGAAGGGTACACTTATCAGGTCTTAGTGTCAAATAAAATTTGCGACAGTGGGATATGCACCGAGGCAGTTGTAGTTCTCTACCAAGGTCACATAGTTAAGATCAAGGAGGGTTTGCCTGCTCAGGAGTTCGATGTGGAGCTCGATGGCTCAAAGGTGTACAAGCTTCCTTTCAATACGTCTTGGTTGATCCTTGAACAAACGCCATCGAAGAAAATGCAGTTGCTGATACCTTCAATTCAGTTGGAGATCATTGTCTATCAACCAAACTTCGCATTCAGTTTGACTGTTCCCTCGCATATCTTCGGAGGTGGTATGGAAGGTCTCTGTGGCAACTGCAACGAAGAGCTAGACGATGACTTGAAGCAACCGGATGGTCAGGTATATGATCATTTTCTTAATACAACAAACGTAAAAGTCAGGACAACTGATGATCTTGATATATTGGTAACTAGGTTACGGACAATATGCAAGATTTTGGTGCAAGCTGGCTGGTCACAAAACCACCAAATAATGTTGACATAGACACAAGTGCGTGTGTCTTTAACAATGAGAGCAAATGCGTTCTACCGCCAGCCGATCGAGATCCATGCAGGAAATTATTGGACGCAATGGAGTTTGGCATGTGTCACAGTCTTGTTGATCCAATGCCGTATTTCATGGCCTGTCAAGACAGTATGTGCTCCGGAGGAGGCTACTGCGACAGTTTCGAAGCATATTCGAGAAAATGTCAGCAAACGGGCGTTTGTCTGATTTGGAGGAGCAGCGAAATGTGTCCTTATGTTTGCCCCCCGCGTGAGTGTTTCTCTCTTAGATTTCTATATTAAATTTCATCGCTTAAAACGTTATCTTCTTTCAGACTTGGTGTATCAACCTTGTGGGTCTGCTTGTAAAGAGACTTGCGACACAATTAACGAGATCAGTGACGCTGCGTGTTCGAGGAATTACGAAGAAGGTTGTTTCTGTCCTCAGAACCTCATCTTGCTTAACGATACTTGCATTCCAAAGGAAAGATGCTTGTTGTGCGACGAAGACGGGCACGTCGAAGGTGACACGTGGTTCCCAGATGCTTGCACGAGATGCATTTGTAGTAAGAAGGCCATCAATTGCGAGAAAACCGAGTGTCCCGCAGTGGATACCGTCTGCGAAGAGAACATGGCGCCTGTGGCCGTTAATGGGACGCAAGAAGATTGTTGCACTAAATACATTTGTGTTCCAAAGTCAGTAACCACCATGACACCATTCTGCACTGAGGAATCTCAAATTCCCGAGTGTGGCTACGGACAGATCACAAAAATATCCACAGATTCGTACGGATGCAAGAAATTCATGTGCGAGTGTCTACCACCTGAAGAATGTCCTGTTCTCAACGACGTCACGCTGGAAGTCGAGGAGTTAGAACCTGGTTTCGTGCAGGTGACGAATACCTCTGGCTGTTGTCCAAAATCTGTGGCCATGTGCGATCCTAAAACTTGTCCCTCGGTACCATCCTGTCCAGAGTATCACGAGTTGAAGAGTGATACGAAGCGGGACGCTTGCTGCGCCACGTATGAGTGCGTACCACCAAAAGATTTATGTCTGTACAACGTCGAATCGCAGAGTAAGATAGAAATGTCGGAACACATAGTAGCAAAGAAACTCGGGGAGCAGTGGACGGATGGAAAGTGTACTTCCTGCATTTGCGAGCCTTCTGAAAAGGGGCCCAAGCCAAAGTGCTTCACCACAGAGTGTCTCAGAGCAGCGGATCACCCAGATATATCTGACTTCGTCGTGGAAGAGGTTCTCGCTGAGGATAGATGTTGTCCTGGCTTCGAGAGAACAGCTTGCAAGGATGGAGACAAGGTTTACGAGATTGGCGACGTCTGGCAACCGAATCTCGAGGACAGTTGCACCTTGGTGAAATGTGTCAGGGACGAGAACGGAGTGGAGAAGCAGATGCAGGTGCAAGAATGCGTCACCGCATGTGACCCTGGCTTTGAATATCGGCCCACGGATAACAGAAGTATCACTTGCTGCGGACGATGCGTCCCAGTAGCTTGTGTGATCAACGACAGAGTGATAAATGTAGGAGAACAGCTACTCTCTCCTGATTTTTGCACCAAATATTCCTGCCAGTCCAACAACGAGCGTGTCTACGTGGAATCTCTCACAGAAAAATGTCCAGAGATAGACGCTCGGGACGCGGCTGAATTTGAGATAGAAACACGGAATATTCCAGGCCAATGTTGCCCGCAGTTTGTTAAAGTTGCTTGTCGTCACAACGGCACCGTGTACAGGCCTGGAGAGAAATGGAAATCGTTGGATGACAAATGTGCTACGGAGGTCTGTGTATTGGACGACACTGTGACAAAGTACAAAGACACAGAAGTTTGCAACAAAAATTGCCCCCTTGGATGGGAGTACCAGGAGAATGAGTCTGAATGTTGTGGAAAATGCAAGCAGGCTTACTGCGTCGTCGGAGATACGTTGTACAAGCCTGATGCAACCTGGTCTTCCTCTGATAATTGTACCTCATTTTCTTGCATGGCTCAGAGAGATCAACTAATGATCAGCAGCAGTTCTGTGGTCTGTCCTGATGTAACCGATTGTCCAGCGACCTCGATTTACATACAGAACTGCTGCAAGATGTGCAATTTCACGGCGCTTAATCAGAAGGTTGACTCTTGCGCTGCTGATGTCTTGGAGCTGCAAAACACTATCGGTATGTTCAGCATCAAGCATCGAGGACACGGCGTTTGCAAGAATTTGGAGCCCATTGATGGAGTCACGGAGTGCCGTGGTAAATGCGAATCCACCACCTACTTCGACACAGGTAAAGTTAGATAAATGCGTACACATATAAACGAGCTACATAGTATGTTATAGATCAAAATATTTATATGATCAAAAGGAATTTCTAACGTGTATTGTACCTTCAATCAACAGACAATTGGAATCAGGTAACAAATTGCCAATGCTGTCAACCAACGGAGTTTAAGCCTCTGATTGTCGAACTGACTTGCGAAAACTATCGAACGTTCAAGAAACAAATTGCCGTGCCAATCTCTTGCACTTGCTCAGCCTGTACGTCGGGTGGGACTGGTTACAAGGGAAGAAAGGGCGGAGTAAAGGGTTAAAGACTTAGAATGCTAATTATCACAATTGCTGTAATTGATATATAAACGCAAGCTTGAAAATAGACTCGAGAATACAAAAATATTATTCGTTGACTTTATTAATGAATTCTCATATATGTATTTGTATACATATACATATATATATATCATTTCAACAATTCGTATATCGGCATTCTCGTTCCACAATTCACATTCCGTCCGGAGTCGTTACTAAGTACAATAAAATCTAATTCAGTCTTCCCTAACAAGACTTACAACGAGCTCGAATTTTTTCTGCCTGTTTGTACTTTAAGATTCGGATGTTGAAGAGTAGAATATAACAAAGGGATTATTCAACGAAATATATTTCGGAGCGAAAGCTTTTTTTTTCAAACATTTAGACTCAGCCGACGATACGCGTAAATTTAAAAAAAAAAATAAATAAATAAATAAATCACAGCTTCTTCGTCTCTATTGATCATTGAGATTGTTACAAATCAAACGGAAGCAAAAAATGAAAATTCACTCAGTATCCTGCGGCATATCTCTGGATCTCTGACTCATCGATTCAACGCGAATACAAAAATAGGACTTATCAAAAATGTTTTAGACTAGTTCTCAAGAAACCTGAGCCATCGAATTATCGTCTTACAAAAAACGGTACGAACCAAGAGACGCAAAATTAGAATCTTAGTTCGTAAGTAACATCAAGACAAGAAGAGTATAAAAAACTAAAAAGCTACGTTAGACTTTCGGTTTTACTATCGAACGGTATCGGTTCGCAAACACAATCACATTTTACGAACATTAAAATATTGTTCAGTAACAAAACATTGTTAATGCTCTCTTATGTACATATACATATGTATATATATATATATATATATGGCTTATCTTTAACATTTTTTTTATCTCTTCTTCAACGAATTAATTATCACTCTTAACAACAATATAATATTTCAATATAATATCTCTCTAAGTGTATGCTGTATATAGACATAATCAATTCAAAAAACAAGATAGCAACTACAAATGTTCCTCCCCCTTAATATCATACAAGAGAAAGAGAACATTTCAGATTTTCCTCGACTGGATGCACTCAAAAAAATTACAAACAGTTGCAAATCTACTAACGTATGTAAGATAGAATCTGATTGACTGTTTTATTTACACGACTCCTACGTTACTTAGGGTTTTACAAAATTGTCGGTCGGTAATATTTGACAATGTTCGACGCAACAAATGTTTTTCTCTTCATTATTTCATAAATTTTGCACACGCACCAAAAAAAGAGAAACTGATATGTAATTTTTATGTACACTTTTTAATTTTAACAAAATCGATAACAAAACGTATCATTATTTGAGCATTTTGCGGAGGAGCTATCTCAAAATAATGAACTGTCATGACGGACAATAATAAGGACAGTAATAATGATAATCACAATGATACATCTTCCTACTCTAATATGAATAGAAGCAAAAACGTAACAATCGTCTATTTTTATCGTCTTGGAAATATATAATTATAATTATTGTTTGCTTTCTAGTTTATCTTTTCGTTAGGAGGAATAGCGCAAGACATAATAATCGCGTTATTTCGATAATCGTCGTACGGAGAGAATGTATCGACAGTTAACAACGAAGTAGAAGTAGAAACGGACACGACAAATCCCTCAAGAGCAATCTGCCTTTCACATCGTGCTTAACAGTAACTTTTGGTTTAAATCAAGTGTACACATCACTCTGAAGGGGCCGCAATACTGCATTAGATGGAAATGAGTTGTTTCCACCGTACTGAAACACGAGAATCGTGAATTTCAAGGTGTCTTATTTTAAACAGGCCATTCTTCTCTAGGTTGCGTTACGCGTCTGATGACACTACTACCATTAATCAGTACAAAATTAGATTAGTCGCGAGTTCTTGAGAGCCACGCAATAAAAATCTAATTTCTCCCGCGTTTCAAAGGTTCCCAGAAACTACAGACGCCCTAAACGGGTCTTCTTGGCACCTCTGTTATTACCAGCGAACATAACTTCAATGATTCCATTAATCTGTTAACTGGAAAAGACAAAGTTAGCAATATTCTTGACTCATAGTTCAATGATTAAGAGATACATGTTTCAAGAGGTAAATCAAATCAATTCATTTCCCTAGTTCCTAATTCTATCTTTTAAAAATATATTTACACTTGTCAACAGAACGAAATTGACTGTTTGTCGAAAGCAATAATGTTTCCACTGTGAGGGACGCCAGTTAGCAGATTAATAGTTACGAGAAGGTGGTACAATCTCACTCTTGGCGCACTCTGAGCCTATGCAACCGACTCGTTTAATCCAGCTTCGTGATCCTCGCCTCCCGCGTGTGTGTATGTGTGAATGTGTCGACGAAGGTACAGACAGAGACAGTATTAGGCTGTTCCACGCGTACGTTGCGTACGCTACCTGAAAGGAGGAAGGACTACTTTTTGCTACGCTTACAGAGTACACAGCAGCGTGCAACCCACAGCTGTGACACTTATTTTGCTACCTTCCACGTATTCAATCGGGCCTGGCCGACGGCCTGGTCGTGACCCCAAACTTGAAAACGCGTGTCCGACTGGCTTCTCACCCGGCGTCTGGACGCTCTCTTGGACGGCGTTGTTGTTCACTCTTCCTCCATCTTTTCTTTTTTCTCCCTTTCTTGTTTTTCGAAACAGACGCAACTTTCCTCGAAGACTCGTTACTCGAACACGAGTCGTTGGCCCTTTACTCAGGGGCCGTGAGCAAGTCCTAGGCCAACTCCCGTTTACCCTTCGGCTCTGCGTAGAATTTGGTCTCACTGCTGTTAGCCAGGCTACTCAACGATCGTTCGTGAAAGTGCCTGCTTAACAAGTACACCACCGCCTCGTACGTCGCCATTATGATCGCCGTGTTTGGGATTTGTCTGATCAGATGAGTGGTGAGGCCACGATACAGACCTTGTAGCCCCTCCTCGACGTGCACGACCTTCAACGTTTGCCAGAAGGTCTGGTACTTGGTACCTTCTTCTCTAAGTCTCGTTCTCGCTACCTCTGAAACAATTCACGCACAAACGTGGCTACAATTAAACGTAGCTTGAAGCTATCCAACGATAGAGTGATTATTCTTTTTTTTGACTTTAGGAACTTAGTTGTCAGGAGAAATGAAAGTTAGATCAATGCAAGAATGTTCTCTTATCGAGAAAGAGAGAGAGAGAGCTGGGACAAAGTAATCTCTTCTCCAAACAACTAGTTCCCTTCTCGAGTATTTCGATAAATACAATGTTAAACACAATCACACGCATGATGGAGACGTGTCGTACTAGTGCGCAGGATGTTTGCAAGAACTAGAGAGGCTTTTGCGAATAACGTTCGCGCAAACTTGGTGCTCTACTCTTGAACCACAGCCAACTCACTGAGCAATGCCTTAAAAATAGAGCATAATTGAAGGAGGAAGCAGAAGCTTGCATCTCGTCGGTGGCGGTATTGCGTAACACAGTTGATCTTACCATGGGGGTAAGCGATGGTGGAGGCGATCGTTTTCGAGAACGAACCCGCCGCCATGAACTCTAAGAAATCGCGCAACGATTTGCGATCGTCCGCCCCGCTGGTCTTGTACGCCGCTAACATGGCTTTTACTGCCTCGTAGATCACAAAATGTATCACAGTCTCGCTTATTCCTACGTAGGAGGCAATAATGCCTTTGTAGAATCCCAGGATACCCTGAAAATACAAACACACACACACTCGAATTTCGTCCCATCGAAAACGTTTGTTTATTAAAGTTCCCTACGTGACGAAGGTATTATTTTATCAAGGTTCCCGACGAAATTTTAACGTGACATTATTCGTTTAGACGTTGTTAGCCAACCCGAAACACCCCAACTTTGCCAACAATCGTAGCTATAACGGACGAACGATCCCGAAGAGAGTAATTTCTTATTTCTAAACTGGTGAATTCGTAACACGAGCCGGAGAATGTGCTCCTCGGTGAATATATTCTTAAACTGTGCCCTGTGTTCCAATTGTTGGCAAAGTGGAGTGATTCGCCTCGCCTCTGTGAGGCAAGAAGCTCAGAGGGAAATCAGAGTATCGTAAATTAAAAATCAAACGCTGGGTTAAAACGTAACGACACACGTGTTTACGTACTGAATCATTTCGTTAAGCTAGCCGAGAGATTAACACACAGATACTCGCCTCCGGTGAGGAAATTATCTGGAGATAAGGGGCTGACACTAAATTTCAAAGATGAGCGATAAGCCGATACGATTTATGATCGTTGAGTTGAGATTAACCTACCTCGGGAGAGCCTCATTCATATCACGTTGTTACTTTTTTTTTTTTTGATTGCTTATCTCTTCTCTCTCTGATTTGCGAGCAACGCGATAATGGAAGTTTCCGTGAACTATAAACTTACTAATGTACATTAGAGAAAAAGCGAATCGTAACATTGCAGTAATAATCCAAGAAGTTGACTAACATTTGAAAAATATTCATCTTTCTGTTTCAATGAGCGATCTTCTGATTTTCGCAAATTATACAACACATACAGATGGAAGTGAAAAACTGACAAACATGTGATGATGCAAATAGGCATAAAGAGAGAAAATACGTGGATTGCTAATGAAAATGATAGTTCTACCATGGAAAATTGGCTACCTAATCGACTTTATCGCCGCGTGCACACAGCGAGAGAAAAGCGGGAGCTTTGATATATAATTGTTCAGTAACTGGTTGGTTAATATTGCACCATATTAGAAACTGCTAACTAAATCCTTTCTCCTTTCCCTATACCTTCGAACAAGCTATGTTACATTTCTTTTTGCAATTATTACCTGCGAGAAAGTTATTTTTTTCGTCTGTCCAGTTCTCTGGTAAAACACTTTTACTTGATAAGTAAAAAAAAAAAAAAAAAAAAAGAGTCCTATTCCGAGACTTAGTTGTACAATTTTCTAGAACTAGTTCTCCCTTACGTAATAAAAATTGACATAATCTAGACACCGGCGACGAGAAGTCCGATAAAATGCTGCAGTAAGAGCCAATAAATCAGTCGCAGCGAGGAACAATGTTTTCTTATGTACGGGATATATTTCCGGCGCATTTTAACTATTCGTAGCTCGTCGGGACAATTTTAGAATTGGCTCTGCTGCAATTGCGACGTTTGTAATCGAACCATGCTGCTACGAACGAATCCTGATAATTAAATTTTGTTTATATCACGATAAATGCTCGTGAAACTGCTACACGAGTCGTCGGTCACGGATTTCGGACAACGATTTTACCCATTTCGTAAGGTATTGCGGATCCAAAGATTTTGGCACTCAGTTCTACGCGTACACGACTGCAAAAATATAAATTGGCTGCCTAGTGTCGGTTAGTATAATACATTGTATATATCGTGACAGTTGCGACAGAAATGTTGACACTCTGAAACCGACACAACGCGTTCCGAGGCTCTGCCCCCCTCCCCCTCAGAAAAGCCCCGGGAACCAGAGTTTTCAAGGAAACAAACGAAATCGTTGTGCGTAACATTCACCACATGCTCTCCAACCTCACAATTATCAAGTCTCAAAGAGCGCACATTTGCTCGTCAAACTCTTTTTCTCATCCTTGCTCTCGCCAGTCCCGAAAGGGATCTAACCATCCTCAAACATACCCTGCGCCCTAAAATCAGAATTAAAATTAGTACACGTTACGTTCCCCCTCTCACCAATTAGTTAGAAACGTACAGAGTAGAGCTCGTTACCCCTAGAACACCACAGGCTACCTAATCAGTGAATGATTCGGGTGATTCAGGATGCAACAGAGTCGACCATGAGAGACCGTGTTTTGCCAGCGTGTTTTCAACTACGGATGATAGGGGAAACTTTTTTTTCCGAGAGAGATGATACGCTACTGGTGTATAACATGGATTTAAAAAAAAAAAAAAAAAAAAAAAATAATAATATCCCGATAATGCGGCAATAGCGTCTCGTGGAACAAGGAGTTCCCTCGGAAGAGGATTTCCGTACCGATTGGCGGTATATCCTTTGCACACACTCCATCGCGGTGATTTTGTTTGTTCGATGGTCCAGCTGCAGCCTGGTCTTCACGAACCAAATAGGATTTGTCAACGTGCATGCCACGAAACCTGAAAAATGAACGCACGTGTCTTTAATCCGATCGGTACGTGTGGGGCGGACTGCGACTGTCTGAGCTCTCTTCAAGGGCTAATTCTACTGATTGCTTAAAGTCTGTCTCTGGAGGATGACCTTTGGAGAATCGATCTTTCAACCATCCACGCAACGCCCTACTTCGCCCTAAGGGAGATTTAGAAAAATTATTCTAATATTCTACGACAGAGTGAAAAAAAAAAAATAGAATAGTACAATTCGAAACTGCCACGGTATTTTCTTCTTTTAAATCAAATCTGAGCTACCTTTACAAATAAAAAAAAAGAGAGAGAGAGAGAGAGAGAGAATTGAAAAGCGACCATGACCACAGATAACTCGACCTTCCGACGACTACGGTAATTCAATAACAGTTGCGCCATTCATCTAGCAAACAATAAATACATGCGAGCCAAGTGGCAAATTCTGGTTGGTCGGATTCTTCCTCGCGATTCCAAATCTGGTCAGCCGTTGGCAGAATTTTTCCGATCGATCTTCCGATTCTTTGCAAACGCGCCAACTTCTAAATTTAAAATACCATCGATCATTCCGAATCGACGATAAAGCACGATGAAGTCAGAAACAAATTTGTTTTCGCTTCTAGATGTTTTGCTTCTCTTGAGGATCGAGACAAACAAACGAGAATCAGCGATTAATTCCTTCGATCACTCTGAAATTAGAGGCCAAGTTCAACACCGAAGGTCTAGCTTCCGCAGAAATGCCTCCGATCAAGAAAGGCGACAAACTACCTAGTGTGACCTTGTACGAAGCACTGCCGGAAAATCAAATGAATATACTGAATCTGGTAGCTAACAAGAAAGCCATCATCTTTGGAGTTCCTGGTGCTTTCGTTCCAGGATGTTCCAGGGTACATCTCAGAGGATTCATTGAAAAGTAACCACGCCTTTGATATATTTGATCTTCCAATCTTCAAATGAAAAAAGAAAAAAAAAAAAAAGAAAGTATTTTCCAGACTCGATAATAAAATATGGAAATCGTTTGGCAATTTAGATCAACAGACCTCAAGTTCCTAGGCTTCGAAGAGATTATCTGCGTGTCAATGAATGATCCATTCGTGATGTCTGCCTGGGGAAATGCCAGAGGAGCAAACGATAAAGTAATGACGTCAACGAAATGATAATACATTTCCTAAGATTTCCAAGGTTAAAGACTGCCTTCGAAGCTGAAATACTAGAGTTTCCTATTTTGAACACTGAATGCAAACATAAAACAGAGAATTCGTTGGGACTTAGGTGAGAATGCTAGCGGACCCCACTGGATCATTTACCAAGGCCATTGGCATGGAGACAGAGATTCCAGAATTGGGAGGGACCAGGAGCAGAAGATACTCCATGGCCACCGTGAATGGCATCGTGAAAGAGTTATTTATAGATGCACCCAACGTGAAGCTTACGTGTTTGCAAATGAACGGCGTTCCAACGTATTGCACTTAGCGTAAACGCAGCGTTCGAAGTTTCAAAATCGTCCGAAATTAATGAAAAATTCAGTTCTCCAAAAGTTTTGAAGCTCGGAATATCGTACGAGTTACCTTGTACATACAGTATACATATGTATTAGTCTCACGACGAAGTTGCAAACGTTCAAGGCCGATGCAAATGACCACCCCGATAATCTAAACTGGGCTTTTAAACGAGCGCCGTCCAGCGCGGCGGTGAATGGAGAGACGCAATTGGTACTTTCGCACACATTGTCGCAAGTGCAACGTGATTCCATCGTAAACACGCGTCGTCTATTTTCGTTGCGCAGCGTTGCGAATCAAAACACGTGACACTACACGCGACACTACAAAGCGACCAAAGCATTCGCTAAACACTTCCGTATAAATTATGATAAATTATAAATTTATCTTATCGTAATGGCAAAAAGAGAGAGAGAGAAGGAGAATGCAACAATGCTGTGAAGTATACATATTTTACAACGACGCTTTTAGTTTGTTGATCTTTTTTTAGTTTTCTGTCCAGAGACATGTTTTCAGAGAGTTTCAACGCCGCTTTTGTGCGCGACGCAAAATGTTTATTTGACATTCCTGCGAGCGTTAATAAGCGGATTCTTGAGCTCAGGCAAGATCCAAGAGCGGAGGAATATATCGACTGTTTTTATCTGACCTACCTCACCGTCGAGGGAAACACTAGAACCGCAGTGTATCGATTTCAAGCGCGGGATTCCTAGGTGACACACTTTGAATCACTTTGGATGCTGGACTTTTAGAGATGCGCGGGATCTAACGTAGATTTCTACAATTGGTGTTAATTCCCCAAGTACCTTTGAAACTTCGAAATTCTACGAGACTCCAAATACGTGTGTACTTCTATATTCTCAATATCTCATGTTTTAGTATAAAACGTATATCTCAATATCTCATATTTTGAATTATAAGAAGTATTCATTCAAATATTTCAAGTGCATTTGTACTTTCAACAGTCCACGAGCTCCGACGTCTTAACACCTCAACATGCTAACATTTCCAACATATTAATTCTCGACTAATTATAATCTAAGTGTCAACAGTAGGTTAATAGCATTTCGAGATTCGAAGGACGCGTGCAGAACGCTTGCATAATCACAAACGACGATGGTAAACAATACATTGGCCAACGTGATTGTCCACGAACTGGGTCAATACGGACTACCTCCTTGCAAACTCAAGACGCGACTGATCGAACAATCGGGTTTTTAACGACCAATTTGCACGCTATTTCCTTCTCCATTTAAACGTTCAAAACATCCGTCAGACGTTCATGAAACACTCGAACAACTTGCAACATGCATACACAGACCAGGCTGATCAATGATTCCTAGATTGAGGAATTTCTTTCCGTGTTGCGTGCAAGTTTCACCTGCAAGCATCGCGTAATCTCATTTATATGCGGTATAGATGTAAACAGATATTTACATAACGCGTATGAAAAGCATTACCGGTCACGTGAGGGCGAACAACAATCCCGGGGAGCTAGAAATCGAAAGAGGGACAGGGACAGCAGCAGCAGCAGCAGCTCGACAAAAAGTTTTAAAAGAACAATGCCTCCAAAGCCTTCGAGGCAAAAGTGGTGCTTCATTGAAGAGAGTTCCTGCGACGGTCTTCTATTTTTAACCGGACAACCATGCAATTTCAATGACCGTACTCCTGCGTTGGTTATTTACGAGCAACGGGATAGACAGATCGACAACCCATAAACTCGTGTCTCTGGTGTTTCTTCAAAGCGATTTATTACAGATCACGTGATTTCTCTGTATACGATAATTGAATTTCCGCTGGAAATATACACAAAGAAATAACAAGTGCGATTTATTTCGATTTATATGCATAGGTATGTGAATAGAATTTAAGAGGAATAAAAAAGATAAAAGAGAATACTTAACTACATGGTTTAATTACGCTGATCAATATCTTCGAGTCAGTCGTATCGTTCGGTAGCCCAATAAATTTTCTTTATCAAGAATCTTTCGGTCGTCTCGGTATCACGCAACAATCACGAGTTTGACTTGTGTCGCGAAGATGAGCCAGAAAGAAAATAACGAGGGCTTCGGGAAGATCTTTAAAGCCTCTTTTGTCGCATGCGACAGTATGTACGTAATTGCTTCAACAGCGAGTGTTTCAAGGCCGACCGGTAATTGAATGCAATTGCACGCATATGAAATAGATCTCGAACCAAGACCGACACGAACCGCTGGCGTGAGTTGACAAGCGAAGATTCGGAGTCGTAGAAAAGAAAATGGCAGTGTTCCTAAAATTCTAAAAATTACACCGAGCACGATTTTTCTTTTTCTTTTTTTTTTTTTTTTTCAAATTCATCGAAATTATATTCGTCAAAATAATTAGAAAACGGAGAATAGAGAAAGATAGAAAACATAGATTCTTAAGTAATTGTATACGTAGTTACTCTGAATGGAGATAAAACGAGGTCACAGCCGAAGAAAACTCTTTTGGGCTGTTGGGCTACGTGACCAGTCACATGTTTTCGATCCTTCGAGAAAAAAAACCTTACGTGCCATTAGTCGCATCAACCGACTCGTGTATCGTGATTGGGACTCGTTTCTTATCAAATTTAACCATTACTGATCTATTCCTAACTCATCCTTGTAAACTTTACTGTGCTACCTTTAATTATGCCATAATAATTCTATCATGAATTATTGATTACCAAACACAGCACCCCTGCAGAGAGATCAGTATCTAAAACAATGATCCAGAGGTTGAAGTTCAACTTTCATAGATAACGTTATCTGTTTTTGAATTATTTGTAATTACGCGTCAATCTTTGAACACATTTGTGATGGCTTAACATGTTCACGATATTATCAATGTTCATTAGCATCAATTTCCATTCCTACAGCTGACCTTCAGCTGTTTGTATAAGCGTGCAGAAAGATATCCTAATTGTGCATGGATCTCTGCGAGGATTCGTCTCTAAACAGACGACGGGGATCATCAAATCCTCGAATTATCGTGGATCGAATGTTGTTAGAAGAAATCAGAAGCGGTCGGAGATTAGAACCAGTTATTTACGGCAACTCATTTAGCCAGATAGCAAGCGAATGACGCGCGACGTGACCCCACTGAGCTCCTTATCAGCAGCCGGCGTTGATTGTTCCGCGGGAAAAGAGGCGGACTATAGCATTGTATGGCTGGCCGGCCGATGCCTCGACTAGATGTTCGTGTATACGTCTATTTCTGTTAGCTTAGCTAGTCTCACGCTTTAGCTACTGCGTTGCATTTTCAATTTACGTGGCGCCGCGTTTTACTCTTTGAAAGAAAATCCTCCATCCTACGAAGAAGTGTTTCGAAGAAGTGCAGAAATTTACGTCTCAAAATTTGGAATGACATAGTGATTCCTAACGAACCCGGGACATTTTAATAATACCTACTTGTCTCTTATTAAATCATCATTCTCTAACGCACAACACACTCGAGCAGTCTAACAAACGCTTCTCAATCATTCCTCCGGCTCTTTCGCTCGAGAGACACACATTACATCACAGCAGTAGCTAAAATCAATCAAAATTGGAATCAAGCTGCAGCAGAGCCGACGAAGGTACGGGTCTGATCGACAAGAACAAATATGCAATGGCCAACTTACCGGCGCAGAATGCGGAGAACACATGCACGAGAGCGGTGTCTGGTGCGAAGATTGTGTTGAACGCGATTTTGCTCTTCGAGTAGGCACAGAAGTAGATCGCTCTGGATGGCGCGACCCCTACGAGATTAGGGCCCAATCCTTTGAACAGAGCCCTGGTACCCTCATTCTGCACAATGTACCTGATGCATTGGTATACACTAGGCGCCGAATGGCTGTGGGGAGTGCCTCCTGGAGTAGAAGACGCACCAAAATGAGAGAGGGCGATCAGAGCGTGCCTAAAATCAGTACAATGAACTTTGATTAATCATCGTTTATTAGCTACAGAACTTCATTCGATTTTTATTCCATTCTATACTATATTCCGTTATAGTTTTTTTTATCAAATTTTATTTTGTAAATTAGAAAGTTAAAGAAGGCTGAAGAATCAAGTATTTGATGTACCGGGGGAAGCATTTTAAAGATTAAATAATATAAAAAAAGTGTCGGAAGCTTGAGAAAAATCTTCTGTCAGAGGTTTTTCGAATGAACAAACGCGACGCGTGCACTTGGTCGAGGAGCTTATTTTTAACCAGGCGAACGTAGGAGTCAATCGACCAGCGCTGGACCATCTCAGACGTGTCCAGAATACGTTCAAATGTCACGTAAAATTGTTCTGCATGTCACAATCATCGTACGATTCAAAGCGCATCAACATAGTGAACAGGGTTTCAAACTGCAAACAGAGTTTACAGTTGCTACAGTGCAACATAAAGGAATATGAGCTGCTTTTCTGGAAGGAATCAGTGCCCCTTATCTTGGAAACATCAGTAATTTAAACGTTATCTGTTTTTTCTTTAAATTAATCTAAAAAAAAAGTAGCAGTTGTTTTTGTTACAGTTAATATAACATATAGTTCTAAGTTATGATTTTATTCTTGTTAAATCGATGCAATTAATCACACAGTCACCTCGTGTATCCTCCTGTGCACAGCCTTCTCCTTTGTTCCGGTTTCGGGAAACTTTTGCATGTCACGTGTCCGGATGTGAGCTCTTTGTTTACGGGGGGCGGATAGAATCCGGATGAGGAGGATTGCAAACGGGTTTTAACCACCTCCAAAGGGCAGGTAACTATCGCGCCAGTCGTTCCAGCCACTCTGTAAAATTTGAACATCCAAGTAAAAACGGAGATCGACGATCGTAACTGGGATTAACTGGGGGACATTGAACCTTTCGAGCTAATTTGGAGCAAACGGCTCGTGATGATCGATCGACTTCTACGAATGGAAATTAATTGCAGCAAAAAGACAAACAAACAGACACGAATACACAGAATGAAGTAAATAGTTGTTTCTTTTCGCTCGATGTATTTCACGGTATGACGATAATGATGACAAATTGTGTTCTAGCATTATCGATACGGCTTTATCGCCAGAACGTTAACATGTTTGTTAATTGACAATTTACTTATTACGCAGATCAACGGAGACATCGTGCATACGATACATAGCGAAAAAAAAAAAGTTCGATCAGATGCAATTAACTAATAATAAATCGAAACGAACGGAATAAGGTTGATATAAAGCCATGTGATAAAATGACACGATGCCAATCGTGAATTTGATCGAGAGCTCTTTACACGATGAATTTAACAAATGACGAATCGCGTTCCAGAATTATCGACGCGTTTTTTCCGTTAGAACGTTCCTAAGCTAAATATTGCGCCAGAGTACGAAAATTTTTGCAACCTCCGGAATGATCAATTTCGATCGAATCCGATGGAAATTCATGCAAGTGCGCCTTAGAAACAGCTTTCGAGAAGTCGTGCGCGTGTACTTCCGACGTGAAAACATGCACTCCTCGAAAAGCCGGGTTGAGGTGCGTATTACGCGATATGTAAGCGACGTTGCCTCGATCGCGCGGACGCGGGATCATGCGTGTGACCGGAGACGCGGCGTCGTCGCGAGGGAATTTCTCGCCGACACCGTGTCTCCGAAAATAATACCGCACAGCTTCTAAATTGGGACAATCAATTACGATCCGTGTGCATCGTGCACGGGAGCAGCGAGTCTCGGGTGAATGACGTAACAGCCGCGAGCCGGCGAACAACGTTCCACGGAGTTCCTCCTCGGGTAGGGTTTCCCTAAAAATTTGTCTGAACGGAACACACGTACTCGCCTCTGGCGTTGTTAATATTTCTTACAAGTCATTTACAGAGCCATTACACGAAGGGAAATGCGCGTTACGTGCGACGAACTGGCTCGGTGTTTGCACGTCGAAAACAACCGGCGTCGATTCAACGGCGCGTGTTCCAACCTCTTGTTCGGCAAAAACACGAATATCGCGGGATTCCGCGGAATTGCAAATGAGAAAATAAATGGAAAAACCCACCCGCCGGCGACGAGGTGTATCGCGGTGTCGCGATCCAACATTCTTCCACTTCGGTCTTCTGTGTCACTCCGAGATCATCAACTTCGAAGAAAGGTACAAGAAGAGACACTGAATAAACAGGTTCACAGGCGGAGAACGCGGGGAAACTGCGCACGAAGAAATTCGTCCGCGACGTGTTATTTGTTTTTTCAAGTAGTAGGTTCAGTTCCTTCTCTCGGCGAGCGAATCGAGAAAGCGCCGACGAGGACCAACGTTCGACACCTCGACACAACACTGGCCCGCATTGATCGTAACAACGTACGGCACGCCGTTTGCCACGGACTACGTCGAAGCTAGAAAGAGATCGTCGAATGTTTCGCAAACGGTGCGACGTACGAAACGGCGGGAACTTTGTAATTTGAAATTCAAACGGCTATTCATGGAAACTGCCTTCTTTAGGAAACTGTCTGCTGATTTCAACTCCGTTTCATCAGAAGTTTGGAAAACAAACTGCATTTATAAAGACTCGCAACGAAGTGATTGACAAGATGATTTTAAGGAGGGAAAATAAAAAGATTAATGAAATTTGGATAAAATGCGTACATGTTTTTATATTATAAAAAATAATATAGGATGAGAAAAGCATTAAATAAATATATAATACTGAATATTGCGTTAGAAAAGTAAAAGGATAATTAAGACTCTGGAAAGAATACCTTTCAGAATCCTTCTTGCGTATTGTTCTCTTTTTCTCTCTCGATCGCCAAATGCATGGCTCTTAAAAATCGGCTTAACGTGCATTTTTTCGTTCTCAGATAAAAAGCGTGGGCCAGGAACGGCATTTTTCTTAAAACTCGTCCGCTCAGCCCCATGCTCTCCTGACTGAGTTCCATTAACTTCAGACTACATTTCGACTGAGGCGTCTCTTCGTAGCCCATCTTTTTTAACATTGACAAATCGTAAATTTCTTCCGGTTCCATCAGTTTTGTCTGCAAGAAGCAAACTGGAATAGCATACCTCAGAAATTGAAGAAAATACGGATGTTTATTTACCCTCATTAATTCCTTGAGACAGGAAGCATAAATTTTGTATATAGCTTGATACGTTGGATGTCCTATGTATTGTTTTATATCGGCTCTGTCGACGAATGCCAAGTCAATGGCCTGCGACAAATTGCTGGTTGTTAGGATTAAGATATTTGGATATCGTTTTATTTGATCCAGCTGTGTTAGTAGGGCATTCACTACTCTTATAGAGTCTGTGGGTTCCGCACCGTTGCTGCAGGACTTTCGTGCGTGCGCCAAGGATTCTACCTCGTCAATCAAAATGCAGACTAATGCTTGCGGATTTTCTAGAAGAGTTTTGATTTCACTGAACAATTTCATAACTAATTTACCACTCTGCAAATAACGGTGTCTTTCATTTCATTGCTAATTAATTAACGTTATTTCTTCAATATACTATTTATATTTATTGTGATGTTACCTCTGAAAACCACTTTGAAAATAAACTGTGGCTGTTTATTTCTACTAGTTCACCATAAGCAAATCTGTTGCCCAAGCGAATAATAGCCTTCTGAGCAAGTGCTTTACACAAGCTGGTTTTCCCTGTACCCGGTGGCCCATACAGTAATACCACTTTATTCCAACTAATAATGTTAGTGTCAACGTTATGGTCTGCAAATATCATCGCCGTTTCCACAAAATGAAGTAACTAAAGAAGAACAAAGAGACGTTTGGACTTTATAAAAAATTATGAGGCTATTGTAAAAAGTTAAACATATTGTTTGACCAACGTTTTCCTTTATGTTGCAGTCGAAATAAAGACTCTCCCACAGATGATGGAACTCCTGCGCTGGTAACATCCAATGGGATGAAGCTGGGATATCCTCGTCATCGTTTTTCATTGTCTCTGTAGCTGCAGACTCTGTGGTTAATCTGTACACGTGAAACTTTAGAGTAGCTCCTTGTATTTTCATGTGACTTCTCTGTAACTATAAAATTCTTGCTGTCAGCAATTCTTTGCACATAACTGAGTTTACTTTTCAATTGTTACCTCTCCGTGACTGCAAGTACATATTATAGAATCAACGTGAATCTGTAAAATGGAATTTGTCAGGTCTTTCCCATACATGATGGTGTCTAATGCAACATCGTTCAACGTGTTTATTTCAGCATACACTAAATCCTCTATTGCCTGTGTGGACAGCATGCTAAAAATAAAGAAAAAATATTACTGTCCATGATGGATAAAGAATAATGCAACTTCAAATGACAAATGTAATTAATTGTAAAACACAAAGGTGATACCTGTCGATATTTTGACAGATTTCCACGTGCAGAACATCGGATCCCTCCATTTTATCTCAATTTTCGGCGCTCCGTTGATTTTTCGATGCTTTAGAAATCAATTCAAACACTTTCTGATACAGAGAAACACCAAGCTGTGTATTCCAGAATAATCAACAATTTGAAACTGAGTAGGCAGGTGTTTCCAAACAGTTGTCAGGTACGCGTAGTGACAGAGAGAGAGAAAGAGAAAGAGTAAAGCCGGTTTTCAATAAACGAGGAGTAGGATTTTAATGAAAACAGGGAGAAAGAATTTCAGGAAGAAATTGATTCTCGGCGAAGAAACGAAAGCTCAGACGGAGAGAGAAAAAGTGAGGTGTGAAAGTCCAAAGTGAATTTTCGATAGATGTTGGTAAGATTTTGCAGAGAAAGAGAGGAGACTTTAAGTTTAAAGTTCATCTTCAAGAACGAGAGCTCGATAGGGTGCTGGGTCACCAATCTAGATCACGTGGAACCCATGACTGTGTACTATAGTAGTTGTAGCGTATAATTCGTATTTTTATAAATCGACAACGGTCAAACGTTTCGTATACGGTGGACGGTTTGAGAAACACATGGATTTGAAATGCAGTGGATGACGATCGGGCTTGATGTGATTGTTCGGTAATTGGTAAACAAGTTGTTTCGCCGATTGTCAACCGATTGTTAAACATCTAACTGTTGATTGAATTTTTATGAAATGAGTAAAGCGACGGACGATGACGAGCGTAGGAGACGCTCGTTGGAAGCGGGTAGAGAAATGGTAGGTCTGGTGGTTCCTTTTCATGGTTGGAAAGGAAAGTCTTCTGTGCAATAAATTTCTTTGTAAATACATAGGAAGGTACAAGTTGGATTTTCAATTGCAATATATTCAAGTCAATTCATGTACTGTTTAGTAGAGTTGAGATTTATTTAACGTGATACGATAAATTTGGAGCATTTGAGAAACTTCTTTCAATAAAAGATTGTATAAAAATTAAATTTTCCACTCTTTTTTTTGTTGCGTCAGCTGGAGAGATTCAAGGCAGAAAAGGCTATCAAAGCTCAAGGTGCGAGTCACAGTCAAATGGACGAGATATCGGATGAAGAGTCATTCCGTAATGACAAATCTATCGAGCACAGAAAGTCTTACGTAAGGATATAAAGATTTCAATCTGTTTGTTTTATTGTTCGTGCCTGTGAACTTTGAGTATTGATTCTATCGATTACAGACACAGGAGGGAATTTCCTCGAGGGATGTGACGCAAAGTAGCGTCAGTATGAGCGAGGGAGAAGCAGATGGAGACTTAGAAGGCCTTGCGGGAAGAGTGGCACAATTGGAAGAGTTGTTACAAGGGAAAGAAGCCATAGTGGAAGCTTTAAATGCAGAGATTGATCACTTGAGGGCAGAGGCTTCATCTCCAAATTCTTCACAAAGTCAGAGTAGTAGTGTACATACCAGAGATGTTGTGTCTTTGTATCATACAAAAGTATGTATGATGTTTTCCTTTTTTTTTGAAGCACAGTGTATGTAGATAGTCATATGTTACTTTTAATCAAACAGCTGCAAGAGTTTGAAAAAGCAGTGACTCAAAGAGATACTCTTATAGAAGATCTAATGTTTTCTTTGCAACATGCCCTATCTGCGAGGGATAATCTTGTTAGTCAGTTAAATGCTATGAATGCTATGGAAATACCCTGTAAAGATAATGCTGGTGCTTCAGTTGGTGGGAATTTGGAAGAAAAGGTAAGGAAATTACATTTTTTGTAATTAAGAAATAAAAACATCTTTGCTGGAGAATTGATGGTTTTCAGATTGATACTTTAGAGAAGACTGTAAATGATCAAAAATCAATAATACAAAAGTTAAGTAGTCAATTGAGTCAAAATCAAGAATACATACAAACATTGGAAATGGAGAAAGAGACTCGAACAGCTGAGATTAACGATTACAAGTTACAAATTCACAATTTGAATGAGCAGGTCCATCTAAATGCAACTGATAAAAATTTAAACATCGCCGAGACTTTGGAGCAACAGAAGCAATATGAAGCCCGCGTAGACAAGATAAAGCAGGATATGCAGCATATATTAAAAAAGTTTACAAGTGAAACGAATATAAATACTGCGCGTCACCAACAGGAACTAAAGGAGCAAGCTGCAAAGCACGAGAAGGAGATAATGAACATCCAAGAAAAATACGAAGAACATCTAAAGCAACTGAAAGAGGAAAATAAGACTCTGGCTGATCGTTTGAACAAAGAACTGCCAGATCTGGAAACTCGTCACGCCAAAGAACTCTCCATATTTCAAACGCAATTGTCTCACTATAAGAAAACTGTGGAGGCTCTGAAACTGGAGTTAATGAACCGCTCCGAGTCCCAACAAACTGCTCAAGCTGAATTGGACGAGTGTAAGTCAAGATTCGATGAATTTAAAATACAGGTGGAAAAGGCTAGACAGATTCAGAATCTAAGTCATCAGAAGGAAAAAGAGATGTTAGGCGAACAGATCAATTTGCACAAGCTTCAGTTGGAAGACATCACGTCAAAGTATATTGCAGCGACTGCGGTTCTGGAGTCAAAGGAGAGCATTGAACGTTCATTGGAGCAGGCCTTGACAAACGCTACCACGTTGAAAGAAGAGAATGAGAATCTAAAGTTTAAACTCGATGATCTGTCATCACGATACTCGGCAGCACAATCGTTAATAGAAAATAGCCAGTCTCACGAAAAAACTTTGAGTAATAAAATTTATGATTTAGAGAAATCATTGTCCAGACTTAGTGGCATAAATATTAGTACTCTAAGTGAGCTGAACGAGACTACGTATCAGACTTTTGACGAAGTGGCGATTCAGTTTCAATTAACGAAGCAAAAGCTTGAGGAAAAGGCAGAGTTGGAAAAACTTCTGACTCAGCGAATTGAAAATCTTGAAGAGAATGTTCGTAAATCGAAAGAAGAAATGCAACAGGCAAATATCACCAAAAAATTGTATGAGAAGCAGCTTAAGGATATGAAGAACGTATGTGATAAATACAAATCCGAGCTGAGTTCCTTGAAAAAGAATGATTTGGATGATCAGAATATCTCGTCACTGGAAGAAAACAAATCGTCTAGTCAGAGTATGAAAGATACTGTCATTGATTTGCTGTACAAAACTGAAATGGATCAACAGGAAATTAAGAAGCTTAAAATAACTCTTGAACAGAAGGAGGTAGAACTCACAGAATGCATTCACAAAATGTATGTTCTAACGGACAAATTAAAGAAATCTGAGGAGGAGTGCGAACAGTTAAAAACCGGACTAGTCACAGCATGGGCCCAGTGTGCTGAGATAGAAGAGAAGTTGAATCAAACGTTAGCATTAAACGATACTAAATTCGATATCTCTGTGGCATCACCCAACTCCAGCAGTGCCTTAATGAAACAGCTTAAGCCGGATAGGATTGCCAATGATTCTGTAAACATAACGCATGATAAAAGCATGGATACAAATAGAACGTCCGACGAGAAAAATGAAAATCTTGACATTAGTAATAGAGCAGCGTCGCTGCAAGAAAAGTTAATGTTTATATTGGAAGAGAATGAACGATTGCTAAAAGAAGTGGAACGTTTGATGCGCCAGCAAGCAGATTATGAAGAGATCAAAAGCAAATTAAAACACTACGTCAGTCTTTCAGAAAGTCTTACCATAGAGAAGGAACAGAAGAACGAAGAAAATAAGACTTTGAAAAAGAAGTTGGAGAACATCCATACGCTGCAAGATTCTGTGAATCAGTTGAGATCAGAAAAGGAAACATTGCGTAAAGAGATCGAAGCGGTGATCCAAACTTATACCGAGCAAATAAGTACTATAAAAGCCGATACTACGTCTGAGATTGAAAAGGTACAATCGTTATTTTTGGGCATGAAAGAAGGCACGACACAGCTCAATGATCTCAGAAACGAACTGGAAATGCGTCACACGAAGGAAATGGAGGAGCTACGCATGTACTTCGAACGAAAATGTTTACTGATGGAAAAGCAATACTCTGAGGAAATATTTAGCCAGCAATCGAAAAGGATGTCAGACAATGACAGTGAAATAGCGGACATAACTGAGGGCTTGTACTATGGAGGTGCTGGTGATTGTTTGAACGCGAATATGTCCGAACATAGTTCGAGACTTGGTTCTCCCATAGCGGACGAACAATCTAGGCACACTGGCCAGAATTTGAGTAGTTACAAGTCCGAAATGGAATATGAAATAAACATCAAGACGTTGCAACAAGAATTGCAAAACAAGATAGTGGAGATGCAGGAGATGAAACTGCAATATGAAAAATCTTTGGAGGAACAAAAGAACATGTACGAAAGGGAACTTCATAATAGTAAAGTCAAAGAAAAACACGACTTGTTGAGAGATATGATAAATCAGGTAAGATACTCAGAAATTTTCTGCACTTTTCATTTGCGCATCTAATGAACTTTGTTTATATCATTTTTTTTTTTTTTGTGTTAAATGTTGAGTATCTTTTTGTGCTTCTTCCTTTTTAGGAATATTTGAAACGCTAATGAAAGTTGAGCTCTTTTATTCACTTTATCATGTATATTAGGTCGCACATTTAAGTTTGGAATGTTTCATTTTAGTTTCAGTAGTATGTATTCTTATGTTTATTTGTATAATTCTGTCTAATTTTAAAAAGACGCATGATTCTTCAGTTTATCTGAATGTATTTGTTTTTCTTAGATGATTTTATTTTTGCGAAAAAAATTGAAGAAAAAGTATATACTTTCCTCATTATCTTCTAGTTCTGAAAAGATCTCGCAATAATTTCCAATTAATCAAAGTCATAGATTATAAATTCCGTAAAACAAAATCATTAGCTTGAACTAGAGTAGAATTATGGTGTATGTACTGTTTCTCTCGTAACTAACATGCTATTGTGTGACCACAATATGTGTGCATGCAGCATTGTCAAACAGAATGGGATGCGGGTGCGTTGGAAAACGGTGAATTAACGCAACTGCGAGCAGCCTACAACCATCAATTGGAAGAACAGATCGCGCTAGCTAAGTTGGATATTGTCAATGCGCTTCAAGAACAAATTCAGGTAGCTTTAGACTTAGCCACACACCGATTTACGCCGTAATAAATTGCTGCAATAAATTGAATTGAATTTTATTTAAAATGAATTTAATTTGTTCATTTTACATTGTTGCAATTTAATTAACAGGCACTACTGACGGTCGAGTCGGATGCAGAGGACAATTGGCCGGTAGAATTGCTGGAATTACGAGATAAATTAACTGGTAATGCGAAAAAGGAAATGCAGCTACTCAAAAAGTCTCACACGGAGGAAGTGCAACGTTTGAAAGAAGAACATTCTCGAAATGTAGCTAGAATGATTGACCGTCATCAGGAGGAACTTAATAAAATTAAGTCAGAGTGTGTTCAGAATTACAGCGTGAAACGAGATTCTGACAGAGACACTGATAATCAAGCTTTTGAAGAAAGGTATTTACATTTTGACAAAATTAAAAACGATCATTCCCATTTTTTTTTTTAATCTATAGAACACTTCCATTAAACAGGAACACCTTAACTAAAACATGTATCACTCTTAAAACACTGATTGAGGAACTGATAAAATATTTCATTATCTGCGAAGAGGAAGTTAATAATACTTTTATTACCGAAGTTGTTAGAAGACAATTATCTGATAGTATCAATAACGAGGAAACTGTGCAGAGTGATAAGTCAAGAAAAAACCAAGAGGCTGGCTTGATGAATTCTTCTGAGATGAGAGTTCAAAGAGTCCATCTTGCACCAAAAACTGCAGAGATAGCTTCTATAATAAATAGCAACGTCGAAACTTTGCCAACCATTTTGGAAGAAGATGAGAGCATAACAGAAAGATTGAAGCTAGAATTGAACAGCTGTATACATCGCTTGAAGTCTGAAAGTTCTGAAATTCTTACTATTTCTTCATCGACAAGAGAAGGAAGACGTGATTCACCTTTGAAAGATACTCTTTGGTTAAATAGAATGAACGAAGAGCTGAATTTGAAACTTCATGATACTGAAACTTTAGTCATTGGCTATCAAGAGCAGATTAATCATCTGAAAATGACTATTTTAGATCTACAAAGCAAGTTAATTAACGCAGAAAATAAAAAAGAGACGATCACGGAAGGTTACGGAGAGAATTATGATTTAGGTACTGACATTACTTTGCAAGATTTCTCACAACTGCAAGAGAAAGGTACGAAAAGAACGTGTTCGAGAAGAAATTTTCGGTGGATATTATTTGCAATTATGTTTTATTTTTTTAGTGAGGCATGTGTTGTCGAATGGAGGAGGAGATTGCGCAGAATTGCTGCAACTGATAGATGAATTGTCTAGATTGACTGAAAAATTGATGGAAGAGTCAAGAAAGGAGAAGGAAGATTTGCAGCAACAGGTAAACTTGAACTTTTCTTAAAGGATGCACTAATTGCATGTATTTTCATTACACAGAGTTGGTATGCTATATACGAAATAGTTGTGGTGTATTGCATATTGAAGTTTTGTACTTGGTAGTCCATTATTTTATCTGTATCTACGAGCTTAGTTATTCATACATTGCACAAGACATATTTTTTCTTTTCTTTTTAAACTCATAATGGACAAACTCTCATTCGTACATAAATATTTTTTCATCAAAAATTTAACTTTTAATAGATTCGATTATCGTTTAACAAGTATTTCAGTCGACGGATGATCTCGTGTTCAAAGATTAATGGAAAAGAATTGTATAAAAAAAAAAAAATGTAAAGAATGAAAGAGACAGAAAGAAAGAAAAAAACGAACTACCGGTAACAATGAATAGCTCCGTGATGCAGTTTTAAAAAGATTGATTGGCGTTCTGTTATCTTGCCAGCAGGTGCCTTTAGAACATACTCCCACCCCATACATTCACAGGGTTTGTCACCGAAAGGTAAATTATAGAATTACTAATACTATTATAAAAAGCTGTTCCGTAAGTTAACTTTAACCGCAAACCGAGCAATATAACGATAAATTGACAAGAACGCTATGGACTTTATTAATTCTGATGAAATGCTATGTCACAAGACATCTCCTAAATCATGCCATCATCATTATTAACATAATAATAATTTCCTAATAATTAATCAAGGCGTGGGTTCCATTGAGTATGCTTTTTTCTATTGTTCTTTCGCATGCACGCATCTCATATTGCAAATTATGCAACTTTTCCTTATCGTTCCAGGTTGTATTGTTAATCCAATAACAATAAATGTGTTTGAAAAGCTATTTTTCATGAATTTTTTTAGAACTTTATTTTCTATTGCTATTCTATTCTATTTTGTTTTGCAAAAAGCTGTTTTCTTAGTTACAGAGGCATGTTTGATTCCATTTTTGATCACGATTGATTAAATATATATAAATTAAAGTTCATAACTCGTGAGCTGTTAAAGTATATGTCTCTATCGATTCTCTCATATTCAAAATTCTTACGCATTGCTTTTTAACTAGAACTTTTTCATTGATATTAATTGGGAATATATATGGGTAGATTGAAGCAGCAGATAAGCAATTAAAAGCAACTCGCAGATTTCTGGATGAGCAGGCTAGCGAAAGAGAAACTGAGAGAGATGAAGCAACAAAACAAATACATGTTCTGCAGGAACAACTTAAAGAGCGTGAACGAGAAAAAGAACGGGACCAACGGATTACTTCTGAGGTGAGATTTTATTATTTAACAAAATTTCGAGATTTTATTATTTAACAAAATAATAATCTAATATAAATACTCGATTTCAATTGAAATATTCGAACCCATCTGCTTTTTGGTGGTAAACTTTAAGTGATGCGGTTTAAACAATACATTTTAATTAGGTTCAGAAGCTTCTTGAAATAATCATTTCTATTTGCCTTGGAGTGGGAATATTTAATGATATCTACTAAATTGATCAAATTAATAGATAACTTTTGAAATGTCATATTTAATTATGATTATTATCAGCTATATTATGAAGCAATTAGGTAGCTTGTAACACGCATTATCACTAACCTATTAACACGGTTTTCCTGCACTTTGGTTTTGTTTTCTGTGTATCGCACAAAGCAGTCCACATTATCACCTGAAGCAACATCAGACATCCCTGTGCTTCAAGCATCTGACATCAATGCAGCTGTGAGTTGTTATTTACTTATAAGAATTAATATTTTTAATGATATTTCAGATCCAGGCTTTATTAGGTACAAAGCATGCATTTATTTTAATAAAAATTAAGAAGTTATGCATGTACTTTTATTTGTGCTTTGTACGTATGTTGGTAATGCTTTCTAGCAAATACTTTACGGTTGTGGCAATTAAATAAACTGAGAAATTATACCAAATTGTGATAAAACATTAAATATAGGTGGAAATTTTGGAATCTCAAATGAGAGAGATGTCCTCTCTTATGTCTGACACGGAGGCCAAAAAATTTGAAACCGAGAGTGAACTTAAAGCAGCTATTGACAAGATTTGGGTACTTAGAGAAATCATCACAGATTTGGAACAACAGCTACAGATCAAAACTGAGAAGGAAGAATCATTGCAGTTGCAAATTAATCAGTTAGAAACTGTAATCGCCGCGCAAACTAAAAATCAGCATGAATTGGTCCAGGAATTGGATGCTGTTAAGATGGGTAGTGAAAGCAAACAGCTGAATGAACATATTATTCACTTACAGGTAAATGTTAATAAAACTTTTAATTTGTGAAAACATAAAAATTTTAAAAATATAACGTATAAAACATAAAATATGATTTTATAGGAAGAACTAAGAAAACACAAATTAAGTTCTGAACAATTCAATGTGAATTCTGCGGCATTGAAGCAGATGAAGACAGAACTCCGCGATATGCAAAATCAATTAGATAAAAGAATCAAAGAACTAGAATCTGCTCACATGTGCAGTTCTAATTTGAGCTTGAGTCAACCGAGCGAAGATGTCTCCATTAGAGAACAAATAGACGCTACCCGATGCCCTACTCCTGACGATCCCACTGCTCCTCCAATGTTACCTCTTGATCAACTACTTAAACTCAAGGAGAAAATGTTAAAACACGCCAGAGTCGAGGAGGTGGCGTTCAAAAGAATCAAGGATTTAGAACTTCAAGTGACTGCTCTCAAAAACCAGAACGAGGAATTACAGGCAGAACAGGAAATTCTTCAACAAACAGCTTCCGAGCAGCTGTTCCAAATAGAAGCGATGCGCGGTAGGCTGGAGCAACATAAGCAAAGCGCCCCATTTGCTCAGAGACAGGCCACGTCACGCCTAGAGTTACAACTTCACGAAGCTAACGCTAAATTTCAGTCTTTGGAACGAAATATTGCTGACAAAGAATTAGAATTAAAGGATACGAAGAATCAACTGGACAGAGTTAATCAATTATTACAAGAAAAGGAAGCAGAGATTGCAAATGTAGTTGAAGTAGAAAGTGCTACCATTCAAAAGTTGAAAGAGCACCTGGAAATTGTTGAAGAAGAAAAAAAAATTCTTCAGGCGAAGGTTGGTGTTCAGGAGCATGCACAGATAGAATTACCAAAGTTGTTGGACAGTATGTTAGCAGACAAGAATGAAGAGATAGATCACTTGAAGGAACAATTATTCAAAAAGGAAAAACAACTTGAGATGTATTCTTCGTTGAATTTGGACGAAACGCAGTTAAGGGAGTTAGCACGACAGACAGAGACAAAGAACAGTGCACGCACATTGAGTGATATTCTATCGATTCACTCAGAATGTGAAGAGACCGCGGAAGCTATCAGAGGGTCCAATACAACGCAGAATTTGCCTAATGTATCTAGTTTCAAAGTTTCTACTCCACCTGCTGCAAAAAGTATAGATGATTCAACTGTGCCTTTAATGGACAGCACTAAGATGATTCAGGTTCCTCCTCTGGATCTTGGTTCTCAAAGTCTATCTGCAACTTCTAGTTCGCAATCTGGAGTTTTAGACTTATTGCAGAGTGGCTTGGAGTCGAAAACTTCCACGTCGGAGAATCTTTCTAGCGATAAAACTGACCATGCTGCTCAGCTGACAAAACAACAGTACACTCAAACGCAAGAATCTCCAAGAAGAGAACGTGTAGATGATAGTAATAGTAATAGATCTTACGATGTTTCAATGAAATATACTCAGACGTCTTTTAATGAAACTTTGAAGGAGATAGAGAATTTAGAGAATCAATTAGAGGCAGTGAAAGAGGAATTAGACATGAAATCAGCAATTTTGAATAAAACGGAAACGGACTTAATAGCTTTGCAGAAATTTTACAATGAATCGCAAATGGAATTCAAGGACGTAGTGGAGACACTTTCCAGAGACAAGTGCTTCTATCAGAATCAATATGAATTATCACGAGTATCGGAAAATAAAATAAAAAAAGATCTCCAAGAAGTAGAAAATGTTCTAAAGTTAAGGAACGAAGAGATGCAAGATCACAGGAACAAGATGCAAGTAAATGAAAAAATTATAATGGAACTGAATTTAGAGAATACTAAGTTGAAAAGAGATATTGAGGAGAAGGAACAAGAATTGGAACAGACAAGAAAGTATAGTATTCTGCTTAAGGAAAAAATAAGTGAATTACAGAATTTCAGAGATACAATTCTCGAGAAAGATATCACTATAGAAACTATTCGAACTCGTAATATTGAGATCGAAAATGAGAACAAACAGTTATATGAATTCAAGACAAAATATCAGTCAGCTAAACAAGAGTTATTGGAATGTCAAAATGAAATTCAAAGGTTGACGGATGGCCTAAACAATAGAGATCAGATTATCAGAAGATTGGAGGAAATGGCCAGACGCACTAGCCTCTCAGGAACATCCTCACCTTCCAATGAAAAGGATCAAGAGATTCATCATCTGCAGGAATACTTAAAAGAGAAAGATAAAGTAATTAGACAAATGAGTGATGATAGCAAAAGTTTGCACACGGCTCTGGAAGCTATACAAAACAAAATGAAAGAATCTGGAAATGTTGTGGATTTGAGAAAGAAGTTGAAGGATGAAAAAAAGTTAAATGCTGAGCTGAGAAACATTGTGGATAATCTAAGCAAAGAGTTGTCTACGTTGAAGAAGACATCAGCACGTAAGTATTTTTTTCTTGTATGAGTTGAAAATTGTCTATAATTTATACAATAATTACTTGTATAAATTTGTAGAACGATCGCAAGATGATACTGACATCGAAGATATGCTGCAAAGAGAGTTAAATTTGTCAGCACATTTGGATAGACAGATTATGAACGCCATAGAAAGTGATGCAGAAGATAAGAAAAAGACAAAAAGACAAACTTCTTATCAGGATATCCAAGAAGAAAGATGCATGGATCTGGATTTCAAATTGACTCAAGCTAATAAGATTAATGAAGAATTGAAAAAATTAAAGGATGATTTGGAAATAGAAAGAGGGATGCTCAAATGCCAAATAGCAGAATACGAAGGTCGTATCTTCCAACTGAAATCAGATTTAGCAGAAGAATCGAAGAAAGTGACAAAACTGGATGAAGAATTATCTTCAGAAAAGAATTTAGTAAGAAAATTAAAGATCCAATTTGAAAAAGAGTTTAAAGCAATGCAAGCTGGGCATATACAAAATTCAGACCTAATAGAGTACCTCCAAAGTAAGTTGAAGAGTTCTCTAGACAACGAGACTAAGCTTAGAAATGAATTATCCTTGCTACGAGAAGAGTATAAGAATTTAGAGATTCAATTGAGTTTGATAAAGGATCACGTAGAGTCCCAGAAAGCCGATGACTTGCCAAAGTTGACAAAGCTTTTAGAAACTGAGAGAAAGAAGTACGTATCGCTAATGGAGAATTTCGAAAAGGAAAGAAAAGAAAATGCAGAACTGAAGGATGCTTTAAGAAAATTACAGATGGAGAAGAATCGTTGCGAAAAGCAACTGGAAGTGGAATTAGAGAAAGAAGAGAACTTGAAAAGTAATTTGATGTTGATAGAAGGAAACAATGATCATCTGCAAATTGATCTCAGGCGTATCAAAGAAGAACTAAAAATGCGACAAGAAGAATGCGAATGGTTACAAAAAAGGATTAAAACTATGTCTGATGCGGAGACTAAGAGACAAGAACAAAAAAGCACTGAACATAATGAGCTTAAAAATTTGAGAAGAGAAACCAATAATGCCAGAGAAGTGATAGTTAGTATAAGGATATATTAATTTATATAACAACTAATTTCTATGATTTCTTTTTTCATGTGTTTAATTGTTTGATAGATGGATTTGGAGGCTGATATGAAGCAATCAAAGAGGGAATTGACGGAGTCTATTGAACGGGAAATGAAATTAACTGAGACTGTAGAGACTCTTAAAGAAAGAGAAAATGATCTACTTAAAAAATTGTCTGCTTTCAAAGACGAAGAGAAGAAGTTGAAAAATGTAATCGCTGAGTTAGAGCAAGAAGTAAAATCGTGTACAAGAAGAGAATTGCAACTTACAAAGGAATTAAAAAATAGATTTACAAACGAGGACGTACCTACCAAATACATGCAAAAGATTAAAGTAATGAATCTAATATAAACTTTTAATAATAAGCTTCTATCTTGTTATTATCTTATGAATCGTTGTATTTTATGATTGATGTTGTGATTTATAGGATCTTAGTGAAATTAATGAAAAATACATGACAGAAAAGACTGTACTTCAGGAGAAATTGATACAAGCAAAGGAAGAGAAGGAGCAATTGATTCAACGAATTAAATTACTCGAAGATGAAATAAAACGAATTAAAACGTCTCAAGTTTTAAACTTCAAGTTCTCAGAACACCTAGAAAAGGTAATTTTCATCTTCTCCGTGTATATTTATTTTGTACTCACTTGTATTGTGATACGATAATGTGTTTTTTCACAGCTGCAACATTTTTATGGGAAGTTCTTGCGAGCAGATAGCAGACGAAAGGCCCTAATTTATCAGAAACGCTACTTGCTAACTATAGTTGGTAGCTATCAAGTGTCCGAAGAAAATATTCTGTGCGTACTCGCTCAATTGACCAAAGACCAACGATCCTACATTGCGATAGGTCGCAACAAGAAATCGCCAAGAGTTCGTTTTAGAAGTGCGGTGCTCGTTTTGGTCAGTATCCACAGAATGAAGTGGCTAATCTTGAGATGGAACACTGGTAAACGAATTGGTGTAAAGACGTTAGTATGGAATACAGAACAGTCTTTCTTGCCGATTCAGAAAACCACTATGAACCATTCGCCTCCTGTCCGAGAGAAGGCTACCTCAAAGTAAGTTACGTATAATTATATAATTATTTAAAAATGAATGTTTTATTTATTTTAAATTGGATTTTCAGTGGGGACGGATTTATGCTTGAACAGTATTTCGAGCGGTTGAAGAATATTCAGCAGACGTTGGGTTTAGCAGTGGCGGAAGCTGGGAATCTTCAAATTCCAGAATAGTATTACATTCTATACCTAAGTTTTGTAAATGTTATAGACTGTGATTTGATTATCACTGTCGCTGTTTTTTGAATGCGGTCATTGTTGCATGATCCGCATGGGATTGCTGTTTTCGATTGTTGCGCCGATCGAAAACGTGTAAAACTGGGCATTTTTATCAGAAAAGACGTTGTTAAAAATTTTGAGCTTCTCTCAGCTGTATTTTTTCTACAGACTATATAAAATTATAGAGAGTAGGAACACATACGTGGAACACGTGTTAGATTTCTACACCAATTACCAGAGGATGATGTACCATGTGTGCTATAATTTCAATATTATCATATATGAATACTCGTAAGAATTTCTAAGAGATCGAACAAAATGTTATGTTAGTCCTTACATATTGTGTTTTACCAAAGTTATTGATAGTGATAGCTATTACTATTACTGTAAAGATACAAACCTGTGCCTTGTATATTTAAATAAGTGTTTTAGTATTTATTTGTTGATGATGATCTGTACGTTTTTATATTGTGAATAAAACATAGGATGTCTTTTTTCCAGATCGTTGATAGGAATTGATTAATGAATCATTGATTGTAAGTTCATGTTTAATATGTATTTTTAACAAAAGAAAGTGTCTATAATTTAATTTGACATCTCATTGTCTCGTATATCTTTTTTTCTTTGATAAATATCAATTTGTACAGCTTTGCAATGCTAGTTTTGAACTGTGCAATTCTTTTGTTAAGTAGAGAGATACGTGAACTTGACAGCTCTTTAATATAATCATTCTTATACGAGAATTCTGGTCCATTATAAATGTAACGAGAACTAATTATATATTAACAGGGAAATAATACTAATTAACAATGGTAAAGACAATAGGGAATTATATAGGATATCTATAATTTTCTTAACAACACTGAAAACGCTAAACACAATTTTCGCTTGTTAAAAGTTATTTACATATATACAAGTGAGACGTGTGATAAAATATATGGCGATCATCTAGCTTTATATGTAAATACGTATATATGTATTTAAAGCTACATTCGATTTTGTAAGACATAATCTAAGAATGTAAGGCTCCCATTTTCTTATTCGTTCGAAGACATAGTTATCTAAATGGTGCAAATTTTACTATCATTTTTTTTTTCTTTTCATATTTAATACCTAGAGATTTCCGTAATAAAGCATCGATCTCTTAAAATACGATAAAAGAAACTCGATGAGCGTATATTACGATTCGTTTTCGTAAATTTTTAATACTTTCTTCGCAAAACGTGAAAACGTTTAGGAGTTCGTACGGAAAAATTTGAATGTACAATTGCGTTGCCGATTTTAGTGAATGAGAACTCGCAAAGCTCCTTCTCGTATCTCCGATTTCCCTTGTCGCGAGGACGTTCGAATAAACGATTGCGTTCGATCGAGGATCTTCGCAAAAAGAAAAAAGAAAAAAGAGAAAATTGTGCGAATGACATTTTGAATTACCCGCGCTTACGATTGGTGCAAGCATCCTTGAAGTTGGTCGCGTTGAACGATCCGAAGTAGTCGTCGTGAAGTTGCCTGATGATCGTTTCAATCGGGCACAATTTTGAATCCCGGCGCGTTCTCTCTGCCTCGTTTCGTTCGGTGTAACTGACGCTGTAGAAATTCGCGTTCCTGCAGAACGGGATCTTCTGGGTGAAGTCTTTCCCGTTGATCACCACTCGGAAGTAGAAATCACTGGCTACGTGGTTCTCGTTCCTTGGATTTATGCGATAAACCTCGATCACGAAGCGGGAGGCGTAGTGCGGCATGGCCAACTTGTCAGAGAAGATGCCCAGAGCTGTTGCGAGGTATTCCAAAGTCTTGTCGTGGCCAGAATATAGAACTATCTTCGGCCTCGCCTCGGAGATGATTCGCAGCATGTAAGAAACGATACTTCGAAGTAGCCCGTAAGCTCTTAGCAATCCGTATTTTCTACGACTGTTGCTCTTCGCCACTTGTTTAGATTCCCACTCTGTGTACGTAAACAGACCGGTCACGTGTTCCGTTTTTGCGCAGACCCTCTGAGCGTTGAAGTCTATACAAGGCAAGGAAGCACCGTGGCAGATGTACGTCAGCAGGGCGTCCTTCAAGGTGTTGGGATCTGTCGTTTGGGCTTGATCAGGGATCTCGAAGACTGCGTTGGAAGCTTGTCGTATAAGTTCAGCCACAGCTGGATGAGATTTCAAGTGATCGGACATCTCCTGCAACAAGGCATTGCCTTTCTGTCAAGAATGTGTTAATGCCACTTTCGTTTGGATCCAATTACCTTTAGATGTTGTTTGAAGAACTTCTCAGCAGCGGGACACGCACAGTCTGTGTTGCAGAAAGCGTAGCTCTGACTTTCTTGCATAGTGATTTTGGCCAGATTCTGAAAACCATCCGTCTCCAGCAGGGCATACAACAGTGCAACTGCGCTTTGTACGGTTCGCCGATACCTGGTGCTGTACACGACAACGTCCCTGCTGGATATGGAGCCATTTCCCAGATTCAATTTGTGGTAATAAGCGTTTCTGAGTATGATTCCTGTTTTCAGTAGCTGTCCGATGCCCAGTGTAGTCAGTTGACCGATTCTACAATCTTTAGAGTTGCTGGGCAGCATAGGGAAACCGTGGAATGGGCCCAGGAATTGTGCCCAGGCAGTTCTTGAATAGCTGGAGACGTTTTGCAAGAAATTTACGTAGTTCTGGTACAAAGTTTCTAATTCAGGTATGGAACTAAAGTCTCCCCCACAGTTTACTATGCTTATGTTACGAATGTGCGCCAAGGGGCCCCTGTCTCCATGTCGAACAAATACTAAAATCCCTCCCAGTGTTAAATTTCCATCCAGCTTTCCTAAATGTGGAGGAATTGTATGATCGTATCATTGATTTCATTGGTTGATTACTTAGTAATTGTAGGAACATTTTGCTCACCACACCTTCTGTCTCTGCTGTAATTTCACTCGGAGGATTACAAAATCGGAATATCTTTTTCGTTTTCACATCAGCTTTCAAGTTTCTGGGAAATTCCCTGATGGAGATGTCGTTTCCTAAAACTCTGGTTTGCATCGAGCTCTTTTCATCTATGCCAATGTACTTGTACATTCCTATACAATTTAACAATATAATTTTATTTGCATTGTTTGGGAATTTACGTATATAAACACTTTTGTTGACATTTGATCAGTTTGTTATGAAAAGAAATAACAAGAAAGAGATCAGATAGCAAAGGGTTCTTTAACCGTGTTTACGTACACGGCTTACAGTAGATCAACGAAGCCGATAATCGTGTATGCGTCAGTTAATCGCATTGTCACGTGTGTTTATTTCCGTACGCTTACGTTACGATAAAACAATAGATATCAGAGTGCTTTTTAAAGAAATACGTATGATGTTATTATATGCTTAAAAGGAAAGAAAAGGAGCAAATACAATAATAAAACAAAATATATTTTTTTACAGAAATTCACAAAGCAGCCAGGATGTATGCGGAAAACACAAAAAAGAAAAGAGTAAACGTCAAAGTATGGTAAATTTTGCTCGATTACCAGCAACAAGAAGGAAGATCCACACGCTGAGAATGACATAGCAATAAAACGCCCGATGCTGGTATGACAGTCGAACCATTTCCGCCAACATCCTGCGGACAGTCCTGGACCCAGCCAGGTCTTTCCTGAATCTCACGACCTCGACGGCGACGATAACACCAAGTCGGACAACCAGAATAAATCCGGTTCAACGACACTTCTCCAACCTGCATCCTCTTTTTTCAGCAATCCTGCTGCATAATTCTACCTCAATAGCTTTGAGAGGATTCAGAGGGACGAGAATCCCGTGGAGTATGTTGTTAAACGAGTTTCTCACGTCCCTTTTCGATATTGGCTTCAACCACGATGCATCGGTGGGTGAAAACCTTGGTCTACTTTTTAACATTCTCCTTAGATTAATTTTATTTTATTGTTAATCATTTGTTTACTTTCGTGATTTATCGCCGTTGATAAAGATGTTGATAATCTTTACATTAATTATCGCTCTTCGTTACGGTTGATTGTAGATGTGTAATATTGACGTTTCTCGTTGAATTTGTTTACAATTATAATACCTTTCTATTATTTTGTACCTTTAGTAGGTGGTTCCTGCCAGATGTGGAAAGGATTTCGAGATCTTCCGTACCTGCGTTCTATCGCGGCAGGTTAGTATCGAGCGCAGACGCCCCTCTTTCTTTTTCCTTGCAAATCTCTTCGCAGTTTAATTTTATATACTTTCAGGATCGTTGTCTACGTTCTTTGGACGATTCGGTTGTAGAGAAAACTGACAGAATCGATGAATGATTCCTTTCTCAGAAGCTCCTTTATTGCGAGAATAATTCAAGGAAAACTATCCCTTTCTCAAAGGGGCATTTACCCTTCTTCGATTATTATTGCCAAACTTTCGTACATATTTACGAATTTCTTTTTTTACAATGGTGATAATGAAATCGAGTTATCATGCGTCAAGCCTGGATCGACGGGACTGCACCTCGATGACATTTCGCGATGCGTTTACTTGCACTTTTCACACTTCAGTCGTTTTGCTTTATGAATCGAAACTTAAAGAGATCATCCACGACGAAAACCGAGCGATGCTACAACCTTACTAAAACATTTTTCTGCAACTACGACAGGTAAGCCGCGCTCCTTGCGACAGGAGTAGGTTATTGAAACGCGCGTGCGCGCAAGGTGTGCAGCCAGATTGGCCTGGCCTCCGTTTTAAATCCATTTCGATCCGCGGTCGAGAGCTGCGAAGAGGTTTATTCTAACGACGAAAGTGCGCGACGTTCAACGGTTCATCGAATTATATTCAGAAAAACTATCCCAAGAGAAGGAATGAACGAGAACTATTTAATGAATTATGAGAAACAAGACAAATTTGATGTACAGTACTTGGAATATCTTCTTGTTCCTACACATTAACATTTTTTGTTTTAAATTAAATCGTTCAATATATTTGATCATGTTGATTGTATAGAAAATTAAAGGAAGGAGATATTTAGAAAAAAATCTGAAAAGTTACGGTTTAATAGCAATGGTCAATATTTAGAAAAGTATTTTCGTTAATTCCTCCTGATATCTTCTTATACAAAATGACGGCAAAGCAATTATTTTAAAATAGATTGCGAATGTTCTGATGAGCATTCGCTAGACATTTTTATTGTCAGACGCAGATTCACCTTTAAAGGAGTGAAAATAGGTGAGTTAGGAGCGCAGGCGCCGCCGTATCTATTTCCGATTTCAGGTGTACATCTGAATATCGTCTTGCTCATTCTGGAAACGTTCCATGGATGCTTTCAGATTAATTTTAATAATTTGGAACAAGACTTGTGCAAACACGAAATGGACGAAGATGAACTTTATTTTCATCTTTTAATACTTAATTTTTATTACATTTTTATTATATATATATAAATTTTATTATATTTATAAATATAAATATAATATTATATTTATAAATATATATATTATAAATCGTAAAAATACAAAGAAGTTAAACGATTTTAGGATCTTTATTAATAGTTATTTTCGTTTAATATTTTACAGAAGAAGAAGAATGTTTCAACGGACAGACTCGAGCGTTCGTCAGATAAGGAAATAAGGAATATCAGTCAGTTGAACAGCTTTAATGTATTCAGATGGCAACGATCTACTTTTTCTTGTAATTTCTTGTTACCGAACATTTGTCTACGGAAAGAGAAAGAGAGAGAGAGAGAGAAAGAGAAAGAGAGAGAGAGTGAGTGATCGTCTAGGCGGGGGCGTTGAATTGGCAATCAGTCGGCAGGCGACATAGACGAACTCGATTACGGTTCCACGAGGCGAGTTGCGCGGGTAACTCGAGCTAACTGGCATGATACGAGAGCTCGAGACTAACTGTCAACTATGGACAATCTAGCCATCAGCCTTAAACAGAATATATTTACGGTAAACGTACGCCAGCACACGTGTATCCAACTCCTCTCAGAGTGACGTCAACATCCGTTTCCTCGTTGTCGTTTAGCACATCATACAAAATATGTGTATCAAGATGTTTCTAAGTAGAAGAGACTGGAATTTATGCGCGTGTAAGCAGAAATATTTTGTACTTTTGTTACTGCAGTATAGTGGTCAGCTACTGGTAATTGAAAGTTATATGTTATATGTTAATTAACTATGGAATAGAGAATGAAAATAAAGAATGTTTATTATAGTCCATTATTATCAAGGCCTAAGATAATACTATCAAGCACGAGAATATTATAAAAAAACATAATATATTTATGGAAAGTGAAACTTTCCATTTCTCGGTCTACTATTTTTCTGAAATAACAACGATGAATTATCGTTGATTGAAGAAACATTGTGAAACAATAAGTTCCGATTTCTTAATTGAACTCTGGATTGACGCAAGCGCAAGGAAAACACGATTGCATAAGGAGTTTCGCGTGCTTGATTGTGACGATAATTATTGACTAAATTTCAAAGGATTCATGCATGATAATCGAGCAGGATAATAAAATTAAAATTGAAACATGAAAAACGGCACGATAGGATCGCATATGACAACGACAAAAACTGATACTAAGATGACGAAGGATGTGAGATCGTATGCTAATATGATGATCCTTGACCGACCGTTTTATAAATCAAATCAAACCCTCTGTGGTAACATGTTCGCACAAGTAGAGCGCTATTAAATACAATTAAATGCAGGGCATTCCGCAATAGAAGCACGCGTAATCACCGATCGCTTCTCGCGCCATTGTCACGGTGGCAATGATCTTGCCAAGGCTACAAGATCAAGCACGACGATCATCGCGACGGATAATCGACACAGTTACATCACCGTGAGATTAGATTTCTACCACAGACAAGATATAGAATAGACATGGCATCTTATTATCTCTATGTTACGAATTTTGTCACATATTCTGAAATATCCGTTGTTTGATCCAATATTTTCTTGTGATAATTCATAATTTATGTAAAATACCATATGCAATTTAAATATTAAAGCTTTAATCTTCTTTTTTTTTTCATTTTTCAATAGCAATATAGGAAAATAATATAGAAAGTAATGTAGAAATAATAGTTTATCGAAAATCATCGAAATGTATACTATTATTTAAATTTCTAAAGAAAAATTCTATTTTTAAATATGAATTATTAAATAATATCACTATAATGATATCTTTACTAATAATTCTATTTTATTTAATAATGGACAAATACTTATATAACACGTTCAAACTGATATTTGTTCATTATTTTTTCGCAACTTTTAAAAAAATATTGCCTTTAATTATATTTTTGATTCACTAATTTAATCTTTAATTTATTTGATTATTCAATTAAGTCAAATTAACGCGCGCTTAAATATAGATAAATCACGCGCTCCTATTGGTAGAGAATAATTGCAGGTCTCCACCAATGGTAATTCGCGAGAGAACTATTTAACGCGGGGTGGTTATTACGCTGCTGAATTTCGTAGAGTAAAGTTGCGTCACGCCATCCTGTTATAATTAACTAGCATCTTTATTTCGACTTTTGTCATCGTTTCTACATTTCCATCACCTTCATTTAATTAGTATGTCTCCATTTAATTACTTATCATATTAATTATCATTTTAATTATCTTTTCGCATATTTTCGTCATTGACTGCATATTTGGTAGTTAGAGTCAATAACTCATATTGTAAGCCTTCCAGACAGAATTTAAGTCTTATTATTACATTATTTTAATATAATTGCTTTAATTATCGAAATTTATTGGTTTATCATACATTTATTTGAAATTGTTGGTTTTTCTTTGCACAGATTATTAGCTGGTTACATGGTTGAAGGTATAGGGGTTCACAGGGATTCACAGCTCAAACGCCACGGACGGTTAATAACCGTTAATTTCAGTTGATTCAAAATGGACGGCACAAACGACTGACGATCAACTTGCTGAATTTTTATGCAGATTTTATAACTATTAAATTATTGTAACAAAAGTAGACGTATGTACGCATTCATTTTTTTCTTTTTATTGGTTTAATGGTAACATATATTTGCTATGCAACTCAAATACAATTCATAATTTTCGAATCTAATCTACAACTTGTAATACGAATCTTATTGTACATTTATAAAATTTTCTGTGCGAAAAATAATATAAAATAATCTTTATTACATTCATGAAATCAGAGTAACAGACACCTTTGAATATGTTTCGAGTTTTGTTGCATAGCAATTTTTGATTTATTACAAATATTGAATAATTGTAAAATTCTTCCAAATTGATTTTATTTTCGAACATTAATATAATATTATGAACACTTATGTTAATAAATATATATATATATATATTTCTATAATATATATATATATATATTTCTGTTGATAAATAAATAAATAAATAAATATATATATTCTATTAATAAATATATATTAATAGAATTTAAAATATTTTTATTAATAAACATTTATTACAATTACAAAATATTTATAACAAAACAATAAGTATTTATTAAAATAAAAAAATATCTTACAATGCATAAATAATATTTGAAATATTACACAAATGTTGCATTTTCTTATCATAATATTTGTTC